GCAGCACCTCTTTTCACCCTCTGTCTGAAACCAGAGCCCAGTCTAAAAAGATAAATTCGGCCCCTTTAAAAATGTGTTGCTGTTTTTGAAACAATATACATTTGATTTGTCATATGACACCATAAATACAGATCAATGACAACATTAATTACTTTAAAAGGAATTATTAAAGAACCTTGTGGACGTATTGCTTGTGTCATATATTCCTTGAGTCTGTTTTTTCCAATCCACATTTAAATATGAGCACGGCGGCTCCATTTTTATTTTACTCTGGGGTGAAAAGTTCCATTTGCGGTCAGAGGGCCAAAACCCAGAGAGAAAGATTTGTATGGGAAGGGTTTGAGGTAAAGCTCTGCTGTCTTTACCATTTGCTCGACTGTAGAGTTAATACAGCAACGCAGCGTTTGATGAGGAGAGAGCTGGACTAAATGATGCAGGCAATGAAGACCGAGGGGAAAATGGCAAACGTGTGTCGCCTTCCAATCAGCTCCACGTCTGTATATCCAAACACACTAATTATGTATTATGGGCGTTAATGAGCCGTGGCACTGATTGCCAAACATTAGCTAGTCTCCCTCTCTGAGCCAATCGGGCTTTTATTGGCTCTTCTCTGTGTGGATTGAGTTTTATACACCGGCTGCATCTATCAAATACTCACACATATATACATTAAAATGCACAAATAACAATTACCAATCTGAGTAACAACACACAGGAAACAGGCTGAAGTCAATTACACCCACACATGTTCTATACCAGACTGGTTGTATTTGCTCTCTCTCAGTTTGTTTTTTGTCTGCAAATGTTGTGTTTTTTAATGTGAATTTAACATCCATTGTTTGCCACTAGGCACAGTAACAGAGAAAGAGAGGAGGCTGTTAAATATTCACATGTCCTTTAGTCACAAACAGTTTCAACAGCAAAATGTTTGATGTGAAAGAGAGAGAAGTGTGAGAGAAGACCCTTTCAGCTTTCTCCCCTTCAAAAACCCACAAACACCATTTTGCTGACTTCCTTTCCTGCTTTTTCATAAATGTCTTATCACGCACAGCCTGCAAAAATGAGATACAGTGGCACTAAACGGTTAAGGAACATTTTGAAAACTGCAAAGAAAAAGTAATTAACCCATGCGAGAAAGTGGTCTTTTTTTCTAATTCGAAACTGCTCTCAAGCATCAGGTGGAAAATCAGGTGGTCAGTTAGGGCTGCAGATGATGCTAACACAAACTGAACGTGCTCTCACACCTGCCTGTTGGTGTGGGCGGATCAACCCCCCCAAGTGTTTTGCTCCTGGTTAATGTCATTGTTAATGTGGTGGTGAAAAAAAAACCCTAAAGCTAACAGCTGATCCCTGGTCAGCCTCAGTTGAATAGCCACAGCTGCTTTCATGTGAAACTCGAAGTGGTTCAAAATATATGAGGAGAAATGAAGTAACCAGATATGTATTGGTCTTATTAAGTTATTGTTTATGATAAAGTTGCATGCATTGTGTGTAAAATAGCACTGGTTGACTATTTGCTGAAGCGTTAATCAGAATTCTGGGTTATTTGTGGTAAAGACTGCAGTTTAAATGACTTAATTGCTTTTTTATTTACAGTACAAACTGTCCCCAACATAGCAATATTGGGTCTTGATTTTGTTTTCATCTGAAACGCTGTCGTTAAGCACCATTTTAAGCACTTATTTCAGAAGTGGGTAGGTGACCTCAATTACATTCTGCAAACAGGAATAACACATTCTGTTTCTTGGTTTGCAATGCAGCGCCGCAGAAAGGAGGAATGAAAGCGGATTGCAGAAAACTGGGACAGTGTGCTTTGATTTTGTGTGAAGACTGTTGGCATGGCATACATCTAAAATGCATCACTGGGTTTCATTGAGAGAAAGTGAATGATGTTTTAGAAGAGATAAAGAAGCGGTCATGTATGGCTTTGAAAGGCAATAGTAGATATTGGAAATGGTTTTTGTTTGCTTCCTGAGGGTAGGGTTAGGTTAGGGTTAGGGTTATATAATTGATCTCTCTGTGAAACCAGTCAACTTTGATTCAGTTTCCATTTAAAATCAGATCAAAGGTTTTGCATTGTGACAATATTGAGCATTTTAGGTACAGTATATGACCTGGAATTAACACACGCACACACACACACACACACACACACACACACACACACACACACACACACACACACACACACACACACACACACACACACACACACACACACACACACACACACACACACACACACACACACACACACACACACACACTCTTCTTCTGTGTAGCCACATCCCTCATCTTACATGAATTGCTGTGCTGTAAATCAGATCCGGCAGTGCAGGTTTATTAGCCTCCATCAGAGGATCAGTGCCCCCTGCATCAGCACTCAAACGCTAAAAGGCTGCGCACACATTGGACACCAAAGCTAATGCATGACCTTTGAATTTATTCATTTGGAAGGCGGCTTATCGTATCCTTTTTTTTCTCGCTAAAGTTATTTCCTTTGTCGTCATTTTTTTATTAACCGTGCAAACAGCTGATGGTTGCTGTGAGTCTTCAGAGACTATGCTTGGCTGTGTGCAGATGGTCAGTTCTGTTATGAGTGAGAGTGACTCATGTATTCACTGAAGCCAAAAAGCACAACTTTACATGACTCGTCCTCGGGATCCGCCTGCCAGCTAGAACTGGAAAGCCTCCAAAGCTGTGTTCATCGCAGTGAATCTCCAGCTCTGCACATGCTGTACCTACCAACTGGCCTCCGGATGCCATGCCCTTCATTTATTATTGTAAGGTGATTTCAGCTCTGTCTGGTATCTGTTAGGATTTATAATTGGAAAAATGTCTTCGAGTTTTAGAGGATGCGTTAAATCATCTCATGTCATATCAGTCTGGGTTGCAAAACTGACATGGATGAATTGTAATTTTTTGAGCATAACATATATTCCTGAGCACATACTGTACAGTATTGTATGTTGACCTCAAACTCCTATAGGTGAACTTAGAGCACCATTATGAAAAAAAACTGTCTTTGTTTTGTTTAAGAGCTGAATATTTCGATCAAAAGAACACGATACAAGAATATTTTTGAATGTACACATTGTTCTACCTTGTGGTACCTGGCAGTTTGATCTGAGATGTGGGTGTTAGAAGCAGCTGTTGTAGCCTGAAGCAGAGATAGGAAGCAGGCTACACTTCCTTCCAACTCCACATTCCAAGATTTCTTTGATTTTTAAACTTATAGTCTTCAGCCCCAACCAATACTGACTGAAGTCTTGCCTGATCACTTGTTCAACACAAACTACAGACAATCTATAGAAGCACTTCAAAACACCTGTTAACAGACTGCAGCAAGTGCTTTCCTATACTTTTTTGGCCCTGTTTTTGCTCTTGGGCTTCTTACAGACTGCTTTTTCTTATTGGTGGAGGTTCTTGGGGCTGTAGTGAGTCCCTTATTTATATGAAAGTCTCAAACAAGATGTGTAATGATGTGTAATTCCGCTATATGATCTGTATGTGAGTGACTTATATGTACATGATTGCAGATGTTAAACATTAGTGCTACCTGCGCTCATGATGTGTAATCACTGCTGCTGAGCTCCATTTAGCCGTGTCTCAAACACAGCTGAGCACCCTCCCACTGTTCAGCTTCTCTCCACTAATATTCCCTTTGATCAGAGCTACTGCTGATAAACTCAGCTTGGATTTCCGTTTCATGTTGTTATTAATGCGCTGCTGCGTATGACGAGTCGACTATGATGATAAAATGCATCAACAAAGTCAAACTGACAGATTTATTAGAATATCAGTCAGCGTCATCCACCTTCTATTTGATGGATGTGACAAGTTTGCTCATCTGTCTTTAAGTCAGTTGTTTAAAACTCTAAAACTGCTTGATTATTTTTTATTTTAGCAGGCTACATAGGACAACAAATTTAATTTTGTGAAGTTACAATATTGGTACCAGTTGTGCACGGTATTACATGTATTGCTTAAAGGGTGTCTGCAGTAACATGTTTCTGCCTTTTCTCTGTCCTTTGTGTTCACCTCTTGTTTCTATTTACTGGTGGGGGGAGGGAAAGGCCAGTTTTGTGATCAGTATTGATCTGTGAAAGCATATGCTCCAGGCCAGATGTGTCTACTGTTACATCTGTAACGGGGGTGTGTGATAAGAGCTCAAGGGCATGTTTTTATCGGCCCATCTTGGCATTATATCAGTGGACAGATGACTCACAAGATATGGTTTGTGTGCCGTTTGTCAGGCTGCAAAACATTGTGAATGACAAGGGCTCCCTGTCGAGCTTTGACTCAGATAGTAAAACTGTATATCGTTCATTCTGCAGACAAGTTCAAACAGTGATTAGTCAAGCAGGTCACACACAAACACGCAGAGAGGGTCAAGGGCACTGGCAGGAGTGAGCACAGCAGCGTGAAATGACATGTCATACTAATAGCAATCATGTCAGTCCACGAAAGCATGCGGTTAACTTCACAGCACGATCAATTACAAATCAGTTCATGTGAGGGCTCTGCTGCTACTGTACGCTACTGTAACTGTTGATTGTGCGTCCAATAAGTCATTCTTCTGAGCAGAGACAACAGTTTCCCTCCATATTTAACAATTTGTTGTACATATACATGATTTGAATTTGTGGTAGTTGAGATTATTCCAAAATGTGCCCCATTGGAATGTTAAACCCACCAAACAAATGCTGTATTATAATATATTTAAATTCCTTATTATTGCAGAATATAAATTGGCTGGTGTGACCTTATTAGCTCTCATGTAATGTAACTGTGTGCCTGTTATTGCACACAAATAAATAAAACATTTTAACATGAGCGGTGTTGTCCGTTTGAGAATGCTGCCCTCATGTGTCTTATTTTAGAAGTGCAGCACCACAAGACAAACTATAAACCACATTAAGTCATACATCCTGCTTTCCAGACTATATGTGTTCTCTAAATTGTAACAAATAATGATTATATCCTTTTTTTCCTTGCAGGTTATGGACACACTATCAAAACTTTCCCAAACAGCGATTACACAACAAACTGGAATCAGGTATGTTGGAGTGAAATGACCCAAACACAATAAAATGTGCCACAATAATTCAGTATTATATGACACAATGTACAGTACTATAACAGGGTTTATAATAATGATATTTGAAGACTGACAGTATGCTCTCTATTTCCTTTCAAAGGCCTTTCCCATCGGAGGAGAGTGTTCAAGATGAGGATATCTACAACCACCTGGAGGACCTTATAGAGTATGTTCCGTCTCCTCTCATATACACACACACTACAGGTTGTTGTGGGCGCGGGCATCATTTGTTCCCTGGTTGTTGACTGGAAGGCAGCCACCGCCTCCGAGGCTTTGAACATCAGCTCCCCCCACTCTTTTCTCAGTTAACCACAAGTCGTGTGGGCTTCATGTTTTTTATTTAGCCTGTTTTCACACCTTGTTTCCCACCCACTTGGTTTCACTTCTTCAAATACTCTTAAAGCCTGTTTGAGCTGGATCTCAAATGACCTGATGAAATCACTGATATGGTTTGGTTTTTCTACTGAAATGCTAGGGGTTTTGCACTAAACATGTGTTGATACAGTAGCTAACCATTTTCTGATCTGAATTAATTTATAAAAAACAACAAATTATGCATTTTTCAACCTTGAAGAGGGAACAAGGAACATGATCGGCCTACAAAGTCCCTGGTGCATCAATAAAATCTGTATCTAAAATGTATTTCTTAGACTGAAACTGTCAGTATGCACACATCATATATATATATATATATATATATTTTCCACGTTTTCATTTCTCAAATTTGTATGTGGTCAAACAGAGTTATCTACTATTGATTAATAAGGGTTCTTATTTGTCTACTTCAGTCATATGTAACTTCCTAGATCTTAGCAGAAACCATTAACCAATTAGGAAATGGTTTTGGCAGTCGAGCTACTGTAACTTGTGTAAGTCAGTGGAGACAGATAATCTTACTGTGGAAATGCTGTTGGGGAGCCTCACTCTGACACGGAGCTGGTCTATGTTTAGTGCTGACAGCTCCTAGCAGAAAGCAGCCCACTATTAATGACAGAGGAAAACAGCAGTCTGACAGCAGCCGGCAGTGGATGAGAGGTGGAAGTGGCAGCCTGGATCACACTGAACAGAGCCGTGTTCACCTCTCAACTCCCATCTGCTCAGTGTTCAGCAGCAGATGTACAGAAACATACACATTTACCCAACAGGAGAACTTCAATTCCACATTTAACCACTTAGAAAAAACTGTCTGAACTATAACAACTTGCAAAAATAAGGACCCAGTCTAAGGTTTTAGGCCAGTTATGTGTTTAACAATCACATATTCTTAAACATCTGTGAATGATCTGACATGCTTCTTGATCTGCCATTGTCTTAATTCACTTTGATGCAACAGCAGGCCAAGGTACCAGATGCTTCTTGATCTCTTGAGAAAATCTAATTATTTAGTATATGCATTCATTTGGCTTAAGCTCTGTTAACTTCATACAGTGGGATGAGCAGGAAGAAAATCTAAAATACGGCACTGTGTCAGGTGAAATAACCCAAATGAAACTTGTTACACGTATGGAAACAAAAATACAGCATGCTATCTTTGTACCACATACAATACATGCCAAAACAAGGAGTATAAAACAGAGGGGGGATACAGTTATATTTAGATTGACAGAATAGGAAATATAATGCATTTTTTGAAAAATAAAACCCAAAAATATAAACCCAAAGTATAAAAGTATGAACTGACAATTGAGCGTGATATCTCCCCTTGAATCCTCCCACTCACCTCACCATTATCATTCTTCACCCTATTATAAAAACACGCTTAAAACTGCTTTCCATGCCCTGGTTGGAGATTTCTTTCCTCTTGAGGACATTTGGTTCTAAGATACACGTACAAGTACAAGAACACGCACGCATGCACGCCCGTACGCACGCACGCACGCACGCACGCACACACACACGTTAGCCCAGATGCTAAGTTACAGTATGTGAGCACAGGCCTGTTGCGTCACACATAACACTCTTTGCTTGTGAGTGTGTGTCCATGTGTGTTTCTGAACCACTTTCACGCCCTTGGATTAAGTTTTGTCCCTAGCTAACAAGATTTATAAAAAATCCATTTCTGTAAAACCACAACCGTGTGTGTGTTTTAGTTTGAACCGTTAATGTGGCTGTCACGAGGAGTAAAACCATTACCCGCTCACTGTAACCCTCAGGATCAAACAGCTGTGTGATGTAAAGAAATGTCAGTAACATATTCTGTCTTATGTGCTGCAGTGAGAACGGGGTGGAGGATGAGGAGGATTTGTACGACTGTGTGTATGAGGATGAAGATGGAGGAGAGATCTATGAAGATCTGATGAAGACAGAGGCCATCGCTCCCCCGGTTAGTCCTCTTCTCTTTAACTTCAATAACTTCTTTACCATACCTCATTAATACAGACTGACTTTGTTTGGCACGTTTAGTCACTATATGCCTTAAATAAGTAGTATTACATTTGCGTTACTTATTTGCTTTCTTCGCAAGAGATAACAAGTTTGAAACCATTCTCATTTCTGTATGTTAACTTTATGAAGCTATAGAAAGCAACCAGTTAGCTAGCATGACAAATACATCTGGATTTGTATCGTTTTGCAGGAAGAAGCAGTCTTTTAAGTTGAATTGTTGGGTTTAAGGCAACAATTAAGTTAACTGAGAACTTTTTAGATTTTCTTTTAGCTTATTCAAAAAGGATGACAGAACAACCAAATGTGAGTGGACAGTAACACACACCCATCTGTGTTAAGCTAAGCTAATTGGCTGCTAGCTGTGGCTAAATTGATCTTGTGTCAAGTGTTTGAAATTGCCTTATAGCTCAATACCAACTTGATCAACATTTTCTTTTTTGTGAAAGTTAAAAAGGAATGAATTTAATTCATTTTTGTACTAAAATTACAAATGCTTTGTTCATAAAATATGATGATACCTCACTTTTATCATATTTGGCAGACAATCGAGCTAGCATGTGCAACTCTGACCTTGCTCAAAGGGTTGCACAGACTACATCTGGTTGAAGACTCAACAGTTTGTCAGCCCACAGCGCTGACACATAGTAACAGTCCTGTGTGTGTGTGTGTGTGTGTGTGTGTGTGTGGGTGTGTGTGTGTGTGTGTGTGTGTGTGTGTGTGTGTGTAGGCGTTCCAGAAGCAAGCAGAGACTGACATCAGGAGCTGCTGTTTGTCAGAGATCAAGCAGACAGAGGAGAAGTACACTGAGACCCTGGAGTCTATAGAGAAGGTACTGACTTACTAAGGGCCTAATTGCCTTTTAGTATATTCTTCCCAACAACGTAGTACGAAGTTATCCACTGATTTTGGGCATATTATAAGTGGGTTCCAACCTTTTCAGGTGTTTGTGTGTGACCATTTCTGTGAGTTGAGAGACGTTTAAGTATAGTTTTTTATTCCAGATTGATTATTTCAATGAATCATAGAGGTTTGAAGAAGCACAATATGCAGAAATTGTTTGGTTGAAAAAAGTTATAAATTGTAAATTATAATTGTTAATTCCCTTAGATGTAGCCTCTACACCAGTAAGAGATCCTGCCCCTTAGGCTGGAAAACACCTGGCCTAGTTTGACCAAGTCGGTACATTTATATGTAAACTGTGACTGTGGTGTATTTAGAAGTGTAAAGTATAAGAGTGACAAGTCTCTGTGAGCCCACACTCAACTACACTGGCTCAAAAATAAAAGTTAACTTGGATTTCCTTGCACTGAAAGGATGACAGAAGCACTAGAATTCAATTTGGCCTTCTTATCTCTTTCCGTCTGAGAACTGTGAAACTCACTGACTGTAATTTGAGGTATAATGGAAAAAATAATGACTAGTGTAACAAATCTGTAATCCCAGAGAGAAAAAAGGGAAACAATATATTTGTATTTGTGAAATTAAGAGCGGGTAATGAGTATTTCCAGCGCTGCTTTAAACCAAACTATGAGAAAAGCTCTTTTGTTGTGGATGTTTTCCACCTGACGCTGCACTTTTAGAGGACTGTGGGAGGCCCGCCGTCTCTCGCCCCTCAGCCACAGCTACTTTTCTTCTACCTCTTGTGTACGTTCACGTCTGGAAAAAGCCTTGCCTGCTCTCCCAGAGGAATACTCAGTAGATGACTTTCAATATGAAGTGGCTGGTGGAGTTTGTGCTCGCACGCTCCTTTGAGATGTAGAGGTGACTATTCGGCGGGAGTAGTCTGAGAGGAAATCATTAAATTGCAAACTCTGAAAATGAGATTATTGTCGTGACCCAGACAGTCCTGCTTGTTTTTGCTGACTGCCGCAACTTGGCCCCATAATGTAATAGCTTCTCGCAAAATGACTTTCCCACTCTTAGTCTGGAGGGGACGAGCCTCATTCTCTTATGTTCTCTCTCCCTCTGCTGCAGCACTTTATGACACCCCTCACAATGTTCCTATCCATGGTCGAGATGGAAAAGGTGTTTGTGAATATCCCGGTAAGTCTTTAAAGTGTAATGATCCCACTGGGTGGTCAACTAAAGGACACACAAGGGCTATATCAAAGTAGGAAAAATAGAGGCTTGAAAACAACATTAAGGAATTTCACTGTCGATTTGTTCATGGTGTTTTATTTATAAAAAACACCACTAAATGTCTGATAAGTTTGAATATTCTCTACTAATATACTATTACATTTGTAACATGATTAAGAGTATGCAGACATGCTAACAGCTCTGTGAGGAAATGCTTAATTCAATTGAATTTGTAGACTATAGCCCTTAATGTAAGTAACTGATATGTCATGCAGATCACTTTTTTTGGTTTCAGGACCTGGTTAAAGTTCACAAAGGTTTACTGGTGGAAATCCAAGACTCAGTCCACCACAGAAGTGCCCAGAACCTCCACCAGATCTTCATCACTTTTAAAGAGAGGTACACGATGGACTTTGTAACCATAAGCCATTTAAATGTCTGTAATACTCTTAGAATAAATGATGCATCTGTGAGTCATTATATACAGTCCTTGACTCCAAGCCGCCTCACTACATGTGTTTAACCTGTTCTAGGTTGTTGATCTATGGGAAATACTGCAGCCACGTGGAAACAGCCATCATTTGTCTGGATGACATCTGCAAAGAAAGGGAGGACGTACGCATGAAGCTTGAGGTAACTGTCAGTAAATGGTTATTTAGAGCCACATTGACAAGTGTTCACCATGTCACACTAGTCAGATAATGCCCTCAAGTGTTCACCTGAGGCACTGCGGGTGATTTATGACCGCATAAAAACTGTTCTATCATTTCAACTCTTTTCTTTATGGAGAGTCCCATTCTTTTTCTGACTAATTCTGAGGTTACACACGCTATGCACTGTCATGGCCTTGTTTTCTTTATACGATGGTTTATTTGTAAGATTAGCTTTTTGTTGTGTTCCTACAGGAGTGTTCAAAGAGAGCTAACTACGGCAAGTTCACACTGAGGGATCTGCTTGTGGTTCCTATGCAGCGAGTCTTAAAGTATCACCTCCTCCTGCAGGTATAGTACTTCCACATTTCCTCTGTACTATTTATACTTTAATCATAAAGTTATATGAATATATAATAAGCCGTAGCCTTTAGTGTTTGAAACAAGGTAGCTCTCTTTCTCTCTCTTTTTCTGCACAAACCTTTGAAACCATACTAATCTATGAATACTGAGCCTTACTTATAATAACATAACTTAGTGTCATTTAAAGAATAATGAAATCAAAGCACACAATATGACTTTTATGTCTGTGGACCATAACAAGTGTTATTTAAAAAAACAACAACTTTGAATTGTATATATGTTCTGCTATTCATAGGCATAGACTTCCACACTAAAAAGTAGACTTTTGTTGTTACAGTGTTATTTCAAATATAAATATGTGCTAATATCGCTCTAATTATGTACTATTTATTCCTCAATAACATATGAAAACAATTATATAAAAAATGCTTTCCTCCCAAAATGTACTGAAGAGACATTTGTATTACCTTTTACTTATTAACAATGTGTTTTACCTCCACCTCTGTGCACACAGCCATATCATGTCAATCACTGTCTTTGTGATCAAAGCTGGACAGAAAGTTCAAGTTAAGAATCTTCACTGACTTTACAGATGACTGTCAGTGAGTGACACAGCCCCATTAGGGAGATTGTATTCATCAAAGCCTCATCCATTCCTAATCAGGCTTCATGAGCAACTTGGACTTTGTGTCACTGGGTGGAGCTGTTGCCCATGTTTGGATCCCTCCCGCTGCCTTCGTCCTTCAGGCTCCTCTCGTCTGTCTCTGGCTTCTTTATTACTCTCAGTCTGAAATGACCCGCACATTATTGTCATCTGAGAATGGAGAAGCAGGAGAGAGAAAATAGATATAGTGAGAACTGAAAGTGAGAACTGCAGACAGAACAAGACAAACAACTGAAGAGAGACAGATGCAGAGGTGAAGTGGTGAGAGTCTGAATGTGAAGCTAAAATACATTTGTGGAGACTCTGGAGAAAGTCAGGAAAAAGTTACTGACAAGTGACAAAAAAAAGAACATTTTAAAAGATCTAAAATGTATTTTCTTCCATGATACATTTTGACTACGTTAAATATTCTTTAGTGGTTTTTATTATTGTTTTAAATCATGATATGCATCTTTAACATAGCCCAGTTTAAAGTTACATTTACTCGGAGTAAATAGTGTGTATTTGTCACAATACACATGTGTGTGTGAGCACGGCCTATTTCTATCATTTAATGAAAAAAAGTACATTTTCATTATGTGGGTTCAAAAATGTCAATGAGTTTTCATTAGTAGCTACTTTTTGCAATTAGGTATTCAGTTGTTTACTACATAAAAAAGTATGCAAGTTTGGTTTGCGCTGCTGTATATCTTTTAACATTTGGCATTACCTATAATCAACAGCAAATCTGCCATGTCCACAGTGAAATTAATCGAGAATGATCAAATACACCAATTCATGCCTTTAAATGGATCCTATTCTATTTGTCCTGTTTAGTCAGAGATGATTCCCTCAGGGTTTTTTAATAAAAAGCCTTAAATCAGACACCCTGAAACCTTGTGATGTGTCATGTTTGCATGTCCCATCAAAAGGAAAAAAACCTGTAGCAACACAGTAACAGCGTGTGTGCCGGGTTCCCTGCTGAACAGCGGGGTAACAGCCAGCTACATGAAATAAAACCTCCGCTGGTTACTCTCCCACACGGAGACAGCCAGAATCTGAACAACACATGTCTCGTCCCTCCTCTCGCTCACCAGTTCTTTTCTCTTTCTTTCTCACTGCATCCGCTCATCATTTCTCTTCCCCCCTGAACACGATTCCCTCAATGACTCCATCATGTTTGGTCCCGGCTATCAGTGGGACCACTCCCTTCCCCCTATCTCTGAGGATGTGTGGAGCAGGGCTTGATAAATAGGACTCTGTCGCCTTGCTAGTGATAATAATGCCCAGGTTGGGCTTGACTGACACCAGGGATTTGAGCAGGAGCAAGCAGACACATATATCTCCCTTAGCGGCTCAGTGTGTGTGTGTGTGTGTGTGTGTGTGTGTGTGTGTGTGTGTGTGTGTGTGTGTGTGTGTGTGTGTGTGTGTGTGTGTGTGTGTGTGTGTGTGTGTGTGTGTGTGTGTGTGTGTGTGTGTGTGTGTGTGTGTGTGTGTGTGTGTGTGTGTGTGTGTGTGTGTGTGTGTGCAGATACAGTTTGTATGGGCCTGTATGGAGGACATGCATGGCATCCTTCCTTATCCTCCACTGCTGAGGTCTAGATGTCTTGTTTACGCTGCAGTCAGGCACTGGCAAGCAATTTCAGATACACACTTGCCCACACACACCTGGAACAGATGAGTGCACACACACACAATATCTGATTTATTTCAGGACAGGATTCTTCTGGCAGTAATCCTTTTCATTTCTTATTTCTAAGATTATTTTTTCGGCATTTTCGCCATTATTTGACTGAGAAATGGGGAGAGGAAGAGAGGCAACAAAGGTCCCAAGGCCAGAATCGAACCCTGGATGAGGCGCTGTAGCTATTCGGCTACCAATGTGCTTCAATATTTTTCTTATTCACATCTAGAGCTGAAGCTTTAGGTTCTCATGTTTTTCTATGATTTACAACCTAGCTTTCTTCCTTTCATTTCCAACTTTGAGTGTATCATCAAACATTAGTTGTTATTGTTATTAATCAGTTTTACAATACAAAGTTAAATAGTTCTCATCATTTAAAACTTGCTTAACTAAGTTCTGTGTTTATTGATTTGTTTCTGTCCAATAGGAGCTGATGAAACACACTCACGATTCCTCCGACAAGACCAATCTGCGCACGGCATTGGATGCTATGAAGGTACAACATCAGTTTGATCCTAGTATTTTACTTACACACACTCTTATCCCACGAGGCATAACTTACATGTACAAACATAAGTAACAGTCACCCCTTAAAACGAACCAGTTAGATTTCCTGATTCATGTTGTATTCCCCTAATCGCCTTAGGATTGTCTGGGTTTGGCGTCCTGTTATGTATAGATTTGATTGAAATGTTGCTTTTGATGAGAGGAATATTTGTTTATAGGCCTTGGAAGGTTTTTGTCTCTTTAGGATTGTTGTTTGACTTCCTGTTCCTGTTTGTCCTTAAAAACAATGACCATCGTCATTCATATTTGGGTTAAATAATATTTTCCCTCTTGACATGTCATCTCAGCTCGCTATAAAAGCTTGTGTAACAAAATAACCTTATTACATTATGTCCGGAAAATAATCTACAAGATACTGCAGTTCATTGAATCTCCTTACGTAAAGAAATTAGTATACCACGTGAAGCAAGTCCTGCTCTTTTTGTAACACTTTTGTTCCCAATGTCATATTGGCTACAGGACTTGGCTCAGTACGTCAACGAAGTCAAGCGAGACAATGAGACACTGCGAGAAATAGATCAGTATCAGAAATCCATCGAAAACCTGGTAAGCCACCTGTTCCTTCCAAATAATGAAATGCTGATCTAATTTTCTCTGAGCTTTTCATTGGAAATTGCCTTCCCCATCCATTTGTCTCTCTTTCCGTAGAATCAGACTTTGAGTAACTATGGGAGACCCAAAGGTGACGGGGAGGTACGGGTGGCCTCGGTGGACAAACGAGCCAAACAGGACAGGTGAGATGTGAGGGTGACATGCTGGTTGACTGAAACGCTGACTGACTGACTGCAGCTTAACCAGATCAGGTGCTGTGTTTGGAAAACTGCCAGAGTATGTATTGCTTTAAAGCCAAAGACCTTTTAGAAACAAAATCCAGTAAGTGAACATCAAGGTTATATAGTTACAACCATGCAGATCTTTTTGAACATTAAAGCATGGAAACACTCAATACATATATGAACTCTGAAAATGAGCACAATAGGGCACCTTTAAGAATTCCTCAAATATGAACCAGAGAATAGTTAGTTATAATTATTATTATTGAGATATCACTTTTTTCCCAAAATGCACTGGGCAGAAAAACATGAATAAACATCATTCTCTTTGATCCGCAGGCACATCTTTCTGTTTGACGCGGCGGTGATCGTTTGCAAGCGGCGAGGAGACAACTACGAGATGAAAGAAGTGATTGACCTGCACCTCTTCAAGATCACCAACAACCCCACATCGGACAAGGAGAACCGCAAGGTCTGCACACACGGATATGGTTCACATTTAGACAAGATTGTGACTAGTCTCCCCATCCAAAGAGTAGGGTGTGGCAAGTCATTCATAGGTATTAAAGTGTTTCTTTAGAATTCATCTGAATGTTGCTACAGTAGACATTTGTACCTAATAAGAATACTTATTATTGGTGACACCAAGTTCTTTTTTAACTTTTCACAGACACTTTTAATCACAGGTGTAACTAACCCGATTAATGATGGCTCTGTCTCCTGGGTAACAAAGAGTCTTCATGGCTCTGTATTATTTAGCACCGCTGTAAGCCATTGATTGCAGCCACGTATTTTAGTGAAATATTCACTGTAAGAATCAACTTAACTATGAGCAGTGTTTCTCAAACACATTAGATCGTTTTTATGGCAAATGTTCAGCTTTTTCTTGGCAGCAACTCATGCCTTTGTGAAAATGTTCATTTCGATGCCAAGAGAGTAACTAGTCCTTTTTTGAAGAGGTCACAGGGAGGATGTTTAGCTCAGACATGCACCAATATTAGCCTCAATTAAATGTAAAACTGAAGTAAAATGGAAAAGAAAATGTCTTCCAGGCTTGCAGACACCATTTGTTGGTAGTTTTTCATTTATTTGCACAAAAGCTACACCCATTTTTTTCTCCTTCCTTGTTTTGCTGAACCCTTAAGACAGGACTTTCAGCTATTAAAGATGGGCCATGTTCCAAATCACAGATTGTTTTAGTATGTACTGCAGCTGTTTAAAAAAGGTATGTACTGCAAAATACATACAATTGGGACAATGTAGGAGAACATCCTTGTATTTTTGGCATACTACTGTACGTATTGGGCCTTACCAAATCTTTGTCTGGCATACTAAATAGTTTGGTAGTATGGGTATTGGAACGCACAGATGGTATTAAATAATCCAATGACAAAATGTCCCAGTATTTCTGGCAGCCGAATGGTTTATTTTTACAGTTAACAATTCATAACCCGGTAGAAAATCACACTGCATAGGAAAGTGTGAAGCACAGGTCTTAATGTATTGTGTTTGTAGCTAGAATAAGAACGCTTTAGTTTATTGGGTGTTATTCTGATATACTAGTTAATGATATATAAAGGAAAATACAGTATTTCTCAAGCATGAAGCTGTTTATTTTATGGTGTGTGACTCTTTTCCAACCAATAACCCATTTTAGCAGTGATTTATAACAGCTAAAAAGCTTTTGATTACATTTCATTTCACCCAAGGCTCAATCAATGTAGCGAGTATATTCTGCTTTCACTGCTACTCTGATATTCAGCACGTAAAAGTAAAAGAAAGTAGCAAAACATACTTTCTAACATTCTGTATAATAGAAAGAACAAAACAAGCATCTCATATTACAACTAAAGCTATAATGGAGGGAAGTCTTGCACTGTTGAGTCCATTATTGCCTTTTTATGACTGAGTCAGCAAACCACGTTGGACTCCTGACAAACCAATTAACAGTGCTACTCCAGCACAATGAGCAGCCATAACAATTGATCAGATAAACGGCGGTTTATAAAATTGAGTCAAAATGGAGCTGACTGTATTTTATAAGCACCTGTACTAACATCTACGCCCCACTGCTTTCATTTGTGCCCCGAATCCCCTAATGTGCTGCTGGAATGAACTACATGCTGAATCTTTGCAGCTCATAACACAAACAAGAAAATAATCACCAGAAAAGATTCAATTTAATTTTTAATTTGATACATGCTTGTTCCAGCACATGTTTTACATTGTCTTGTTCATTCACCAGCGTAATACTGAAAGTGTCAGACTAGAACAGCCTGCCTCCTCCCAGATGGTCCTATCATTAAACCTCGCTTTGGGCCTGACTACTCTCACACACACACACACACGCACGCACGCACGCACGCACGCACGCACGCACACACACACACACACACACACAGAATACTAAGTGCCAAGTGGTGAAAAATATTGCCAGTCATAATGAGGAATGATATCTAAGGCGTGCCAGGAAACAATGATTCGGGGAATAATGATTTTGTAAATAGCACACATTAGTAGGCTAAGACCCATATGGGCGTATAACGTTATTTTTTGATTGAAACCTCCGCTCTATCAGTATCATTCACCTCTGACATGATGGATATGATGCAGTTTCCTTGATTGTGGAATTGCCAAAGATGACAGTTGCTGTCTGAAGAAAGCAGCAAAAATAATCTTAGAAGCAAAATAATCACATGTACATGCATCTGGAGGTAAAACCAAATAACCTCCAAGTCCAATCGTTTCTAGAATGATGTACACAGCAGTTAAAAAAGTGTTGCGCATACAATAGACTAAGGACAACATTTTCAGCTGTTAAAAATACTTGATTTACTTAATAGGTGATAATATGTGAACGTTATATGCATGTTTCCGCTGCCCCCCAAGTGGCCAAACACGTTTATTGTTCTCTTTGACAGATTGACCTACTGTAAAACACTTCAGAAAGGGTTTGGATTATTTGTATTTTAGGAAAATCAAAGGAATTCTTTTCATTATGTGTCTGGAAGTAATATCCTTTTACATTTCTAAGGCGATACCAAGCAAACAAAAAGTCCAAACTGAGAGACAAACACCTCTACCTTCTGTTACAAATTGGTTGCTAGAGATATATTTGCCGAGCGCAAGTCTTGGTGTCCACTGGGAATGCCTCTGCAGAGCGATGCTTTCCTTTTCTCTTTTCTTTCAATAGAAAGGATGAGCCTCTGCGCTCTGCCTGACAGCACTGAGAGCTTGGCATGTTTTTTTCGCCTTCAGAGATGAGTGCTAGAAGTTCAAAACCCCACATAGGAGCCATAAAAAGTGCATCACACAAGCATCTGTTTAGTGATGCCATCTAAAAAGCCGAGGCATGTGTTGACACAGAAGCTAATAGACTCATATTTAGCCTTTGAAGTGGGTAATGACGGCCGATTACAGGCCCACTCGCACTACTTGGGTACGTGCATGCTGTCTGATGCCCAGCAGTTACATGGCTACCTCACACTCTTCCCTGTCTCCATTATGCTCTTCTTCTTCTTCTCTCGTCTCTATCTGTCAGTTCTGCCACCCTTCAGCTTTTGTGTTTGCTCTCCCCGAGGCATCCCTCTTTCATTTTGAATCTCTTTGTCTCCATCTGTCTCCCTGCATCCCGTCTCCTTCAGCTTCTGCCCCCTTCTGCTCCATTTGTCTTTCACTTGAAACCCCTCAATTTATTTATTTGCCATTGTCTCATTCTCTGTCTGAAACATGCGTGTTTTTTCTTCCCTGTTGCAGTGGTCCTACGGCTTCTACCTCACTCACAACCAGGGCCAGAGCGGCTTTGAATTCTTCTTCAAGACCAAAGAGCTGAAGAAGAAGTGGCTGGAGCAGTTTGGCATGGCCATGTGAGTTTGTTTTTTCTGCGAGAGTGTGTATTTGCGTCACAGAAGTGTGTGACTCTTTGTCCCCGCTGCATTTTGTCACAGCATCAAAAAACTCACGCCGTTTGTCCTGTTATTCAAGTTTGGCTACTTGATGATCTGTGAGCCACGCGACACTGTGTGCGACTTATAATCTCGTCTTTTAGTCACTAACTTTCAAAAGCAGAAGCTGACTGAAAATGCACAAACAAGTTCATTTCGCAGTATTTTAATCATATTTAATGCTATTCACTCAATTGGTTAGACACTTGAATGGATCATCAGATGTAGTTAAAGTGCCAAAAACAGTCCACATCCTGAACAGGAATCTAGTTAAACTGAACTGACTGAAACCAGTGCCAAGAGAGAACTATAGTATTTCACTTCTGGAGCCAAAAAAGAGTCATCTTTTTAATTGACCCACCTCTGTCTTTCACAGCTTTGGCACATAGGCTACAGGCCAGACAAGTTGAATGGGGTATACTATAACTTCAGGAAAAGGTATCTAGATTTGAATTTCAACTGAAGTCTTAAACACAATTTATATGACACTGGACAAAGTGTGTAAACTATATAGAGTGTGAAAACAGAAGAGTATCTAAACCACAGGGAGATGTGTAAAGATTAGGCATTGTTTGCTGAAATGTTGCTGGTGCTTGATCTAAGTTACAGCCACGAGACAAAATAAAAATTTTGTGGCTCAGTTTGTGACATTTGAGACGCCAAACCAGAGATACTTTTACAACTACTTTTAAACCAAACTACGCGAGTCTGGAGGACTGGCCAAAAACAACAAAATATAAATGAGGGAAGTCCGGGCCAGCCACACCAGGGGTGGTCAGACCCTCACCTTCCCCTAAACTAAATGGCAAATACATAGAACTCAACTAAGAAATAAAGCCTTAGTTAAGTCTACCAGATCCCTGAACCTCAAAATATACTAATATAAATAAAGAGCAAACTCAAAAAGGACAATTGAGTGCTGTAGTGTCTGGCCGCATCAACAGAGAGACAGCCAGATTCCCTCTCCTTCAGCCTTCCTTATGTATGGAGAATCAAGAAGGACAGCAGCACCTGACGGAAGGAGGAGCCAATCAGTGATCAGTAGGGGGTCCATTCCATGAAATAAAGCTCAAATTGAATGACATTAGATGACATGTGGAGGAATCTGTCTGATGGAATTGGCACCAGAAAAAACTAGACATATTGCACAGTGAAGCAGAATACTACATGCTCAGTACAACTGGTCCATTAGGAGCTGTGAAATCTCTTTGTAAGGTTTAAAAACGTAACCCAGATGATGTCATGGCGGTGCGTTGTCAGGGTTACACCGGTTCGGTCTCAAAGACTGCATTTGAACAGAAAGCCTATTTAACAAACTGAAGGTGTGAGGTTTGAGGATGTGTGAGTTCACCAGACAGTGTGTCACAAAAGATAGTGTTGTTATTGGAAATGCAGGCAAGAGTATTTTATTGCAAAGTAACAGACTTTTAACATGGACGACAATAATAACAGTGAACTGCATATACATGTTTTAAAACCCAGTGATAAACCACCATCCCCCCGCTTTTTCTGCATCAGCTAGGCATAAGATACCTGGTGTTAGATCCTTAAATACATTTCCATTAGCATCAGTTTAGTTAAGAACTGAGAAAGAAAAAGAAAAAAAATCTGTGAAATATCATTTTTAAGTGGCTAAGGAAAGCAACAGGCCTGATGGAAGATGTAGCGTGGTCGTGTGATGTGAAAACAGCTGCTTTGGTTGATTAACTTTTGGAGCTGAATTAACGAGCTGCGAGAATAGAAAGGCATTGCCAGACGATCACACTCTCCCACAGCGATGCTCAACAGCTGATCTGTGAACAGTTGTTTTCTCTCACATGCCGCCTGTTTACTTCATGACAAATGTTCGGTAGACAAATACAGAAAGTAGAAACTGGTTTTTAAACAGCCGTGAGTGAGCACCCCATCCTTGAAAGTCAGAAGAAGACTGCAAATGAAGTCATATTGTATTGCTGGGTTTTAAAGTCCTTCAAACCTAAGCGGCTAACTCTCAGCGGTCCGACAAAGTTGCATGGTACATATTTAAACGCTTCAGAAAGAGTGAAACTGGAAGAAGGCGGTCATACTCTGAAAGTCAAGAAAAGTGAGTCACAAGGTTTATCCTATAGCACACTATCTAATATATTTAGGTGTTATTATTTGATGAAATTGACCCTCTTTCTTGTCAGCAATATAAAATGTCTAGCTGATAACAATCTTCCGTTCAATATGGATACGTCTCAGTACAGAGGAGACGACACCCTGAAGGTCTCTCTTTCTTCTTTGACAACGTTTTTACCAATCTTCCCAAAACATGTTAATTTTGAGTTGACAAGTAGCACCTGTGCATATAAAGCTTGTGTCATCATGTCTAGCTATTATAACAATGACAACAACTAAAAGACAGACCTCTTCAATAGGAAACAAACAGGATTTTGTGCTACTGTACAGGCAAACTCTTTTTGTCTTTCCTTTCTCACACACACATAAATTCATCCATATCCCAAGGGGCCAAAAATACTTCTATGTTCACGTCAGGAAGACCTTGCCTGTCTATTTGCAATTCTCTCCTTCCCACTTCAAAGAAGCGTATCAGTGTTTCCTGCAATTATAAGTGGCCCTTTTTGGGAGGTTTTTGTTTTCCTTTAATATTCACATTTTCATCAAAGAACAAAGCAGTTTTAGGAAATTAGGAATTAGGAAACAAACACAAAAACATATTTTCCTTCATTCATTGGGTTAATCTGGGACTCCTACTACAGTGTCGGTATGTTCAGTACAATAGCGTCAGAGTTTTAAATGCTGGTTGTAATTATTAACCCCAAATGTCATCCAATATGCTTTTATTTCATTCTGCAAGTCTTAGTATCATCATGGTAAGACAGTTACATGAGCAGAGACTACATTGAAACTCAGTGGTGCGTTTAAGACATTCCAACTCTTGCCATTTTGGTTGACACTGCATTTCAAACGGAAGAAACATTGCATTTAGTCTTTTGAAAGCTTTGTTTATTGTTTTTCCCCTGGATCTTTTGACATTGTGAATGCAACTCTTCTCGACACATCACTCTCAAATCCCGGTGTCAGAGGAAGAAACCTCAATTCATAAACAAGAGCATTTTTGGGGAAAATTCACTGCTTGAACTTCATTAGCATGTGATACTGTTGCATACATTTTATCTCAACTAAGCTTCAACTTCATGCAAGGTGATTTTTCTGGAAGTCAGTCTGAAAAGTGGCACTGGAAAAAAAAACGTTGAGAATGCAAATACAGCAAGGTGCACAATAGTGTGACTCCATTAATACAAAACTCTTCTGTTGCTGTGTTATCCATTATAAAACTAATCTAAAATTATTTGTTTCAGAAGATTTGTAGATTGAGAGTCCAGTGGTGGCTGTGTAGGATTTTCTCTGACATGTGTGATCCAAACATTTCCAATAATTCAAGAAAATTGCGTCAAAAAGTAACAATTTATTCAAATTAGATCATTTGTAAGACATTATCTTCTCAAAAGCACCAGTTTTACTGTGTTTTTTTTACTCCAAACGTGCCACATGCAATAAATAGAATACATCCGATGACTTGCTGAAATTAAATTGGGCGTTTTGTTTTAAGATTAAGATTAACATTACAAACACACATGCATAGGACCTATAGGTCTGAATACAGATATGCACAAACATGCATTTTATAGAGTGTAGAGGCTAGGTTGTCCGGCATAGGATACGTACATATTTATGAGAATTCTTAATAAGCGTTAATACAAAACATCTAACATAATAACCTACTTAATTGGAATATTCTTCAGCAAATACAATCTTAGATCGTAACCCATCAATACCTAATGTTTGTTGTGTGTTATGTCTTGTTTAGATCCAACATTCGCCCAGAGAACGCCACAAACAACCTCCACGAGTTCAACATGCACACCTTTGAAAGGATCACCTCCTGTAACTCTTGCCACATGCTGCTGAGGTAAGAGGCCAGTTGTTATTCACACACATGCACAAACACACACAGTGGAAGCAGCCCATAACTCCTTCAAAGCTATCGTCAAACATAAAGACCGGAGACGAGACCCCTTCTCTTCTGTCTCTCAGGACTCCTTTGAAAGACCTCCGCCTCCTCTTCCTCTCCTATGCAGCCTTACAATCTATTCGTCACTTTCCTTATTCTCCTCTCTTCCTCTGCACATGTGCCTTAGTTACGCAAAGTTTCCTTTGAATTCGCTGAATGGTATCGGCACCCAGAGGTCCGCGTCCATGGTCTCACAGCGAGAACGATTGAGCGGTTTCACCTACCGGTAGAGAAGTGTCTGTCACACTCCAGCACTTCCTCAAGGCAATGGATGGGTAGGGGACAGGATTATTGCGCTGTGACTATTGAGAGCCACACACTGAATTCACCAACATTTACTGAGGAGAAAGTGTGAAGAGAAAACAAGAATAATGCAGGGAAAGTCTCAATCGGCATCTGAAGTGCCACGTGTCTTTTATTTGAAGTGTTACAAGGATTCATTGTACCTATTGTGCCTTTGTTTGAAGTGCCTTTTGAATAACACTGGATTAACTTGACAATAGAAATGTAACCTCATATCTAACAGGTATCAAATATCTAATGACTTTATGAATCATAATCTATCAAGCCAAGTGCGATTATTTGATTTTAAGATGTGTTAGATATTATTTTATAAAAGCAACAGCTCATATCAGACATCTTGTGTACTATACTAGTACTCAGTATGATAAGAAATACAAGAGCACATGATTTGCTGAGGTGATTTGAAGGACAATAAGAAAACATGATACCCAAGAATCTTGTAGAAGTTTACATTTGAAAGGAAAGTCTTAAACATATTTCCTTTTATATGATTTCAAATGGGTTAGGGTTTTAAATGTGCATATTTCACCCTAACCCCTCTGCATGAAACTTCACACTATGTTATGTTACACTTGCACTTCTATTGGCTTGAGATCCAACATATTGTACGTGATCATCTAAGGGGCGGGACATCTCTAAGTGGTTGACCAATCACAACAGAGCTAACCAATCAGAGCACACTGGGCTCTGGTTTCAGACAGAGGGTGAAAAGAGGTGCACAGGAGAGAAAAATAAAGAGCTTTTTGAACATTAAAGAATGTAAACACAAAATACTAATATGATCCTGAAAATGAGCAGAATAGGGCCCCTTTAAAGCCTGTGAATGAAAACATAACACTGCGGCTTGTGTGTGCAGATATCATTTACACAAAAAGTGTCAGTATCTTCTTTCAAGTATGAGCTGATGCATGTTGTTGATCTTTTTTATAGGTTTAAAGTGAAAGTCATTGGAGAGAACTTCCCTTACCACACCTGTTTCAATGTTTTTTTTTTAAACTTCTGGCTGATGTCCTAGTGCTGCTGAGGTAGAACAGCCTGGAGCAATTCAAGTGATGACTTTTCCTGTTCGTCTGTCTGCAGGGGCATCTTTAACCAGGGCTACCTGTGCTCCAAGTGCGGTTTAGGTGCCCATAAAGAATGCCTGGGCCGCTTTGGCAGCTGTGGAAAAACAGGTAACACACTCCTGCTTCACACATGCAAATACAACTCTATCACTTTATTGCACAACCTCATATCAGGAACATCTACAGTAGAGTGTGATTATTCATCAGCTAACATTTTATCAAGAACAAAATGACAGCACTTGAATTACTCTGATTACATGAACATAAATGCACTTTTAATGTTGTAATAAAACCATATTGACAGAGGACATATACAACCTGTTCAAATACTTATTACTGGTTAGTTGTGAAAAATAGCTAACATACAGAGATATGTTCTGAAAAGTGGAATTGTGGGTATTAGAGTTGCTCTTAATAAACAAGAAGTTTTAGGTGTCTTTATTTCCACCAACCAAGGTCATCGAGTTGTAGATCAATATTGCAGATATTCGTTCAAAAGCTCTCTCGCTTCGCTGGGTGGTTTTGACACTTCAGAGCACCTTAAAGGCAATGTCACTGTGTATCATTGCACCGCTCCCCACAGCTTAATAGTAGTTTTACTGAGGAGTTTTATGAAACTCCTGACTTTTTTATTATGCCCCTGTTGTGCATCTGTCACTCAGCTCCCTGAGCAGAAGCCCTGACAGCTCTGAGAGAAATAGCGGGAAAACTTCAGTACATGTGGAATGAAAGGAAGGCCTTCAGAAGCCAGCTTAGCATGTCCTCTGCGAATGTGTGAGAGAATGCATGAAGAGAAAAACTAGATTCACACTTTTTGTTTGTGAAAACTCTTTCGGGTCTTAAAAGTGCATGCTTGTGTTCTAGTGGCTCTAAAACTCTGCACAATGTTTTTTAAAGCGAGCAGGTTTTACTGTTACAACCCCGCATGTCACAATGTCGTGTTTGTCCGTATTCCCCTTGGCAAGCTGCCAGCTCCGTTTGGCCCCGGCATCTGTCACGCTGCTAGCAGGTCGCAGAGGCAATAACGCCGCGGCCAGGCCCACCTGGGCACGCTGGGTACCTGAGTAGATCTGGGCAACACCGGCGGCCAGAGAGCCGGTGAAGACTGGGGTGTCGGTTTGAATTCCCCCTCTCATTACTCCACTCAGAACCCACCCTCTGCTGGTGCAGGGAAATGTGCAAGGCCGAGGAGGACCAGTGCTTTAGCAGCATACTAAAGGAAAATAACTTTAAGAAGTCCTAAAAGTACAAAAATGTCAGCAACTTTTTCTGATGTCCATTTGACCAAAATAATGAACTTTTTCACTAAAATGCTCAGAAAGCCGACTTAATGTCATTGTGTACAGATATAATAGACATGCAGGGCTGCACACACACACAATCACAGCAACACAGTAGACAGATATGAGTGTGTGTGTGTGTGTGTGTGTGTGTGTGTGTGTGTGTGTGTGTGTGCGTGTGTGTGTGTGTGTGTGTGTGTGTGTGTGTGTGTGTGTGTCATAGATAAGCCATTGTTTACTTCAATTTGTCTCTGTTATCAGCTGTGAGGTGTTTGCGTAACAGGTCAAGGTTCACATAAGGAACAACAGGCCTACTGAGAGATGTGTGTGTGTGTGTGTGTGTGTGTGTGTGTGTGTGTGTGTGTGTGTGTGTGTGTGTGTGTTTACAGTGCATACATTTGTGGCTTTCTGCCAGCTAGAGTGTGTGTGTGTAAGTGTGAAGGTATTTGTGTGTTTATGCAACTGCGCTGTTTGTACAGGTACAGGAGTACTCTTATGTATGTGTGTGTGTGCAAAGGTGTGCATCTGTGTGTGTACAGGGGGTGTAACCTGTCCCTCAGGGAGCCAATGAAAGAAACTGGTGGAGCAAAAACCTCAGGTCTGCCCCCCCCCCCCCCCCCTCTCCACCCCACTGCCTCGTTACCTCCTCTATCCTGGCTGTCAGGTAGTGGCATCGCAGTAAAACAAGCGAACCCCGGTCAGACACGAGCGTCCACCTCCTCCACTAATGAGGGAGTGTTGCCTTATACCGACGAGTATGTGCAAGTGTTTGCGTGCACCTGCTAACCCGTCATTCACTATGCCTGTTCTCAAACTTCTTTCAGATCCCGGCTCCGTCAGAACTCAGGTGAGCTGCTGCTGCTGCTGTGTGTGTGTGTGTGTGTGTGTGTGTGTGTGTGTGTGTGTGTGTGTGTGTGTGTGTGTGTGTGTGTGTGTGTGTGTGTGTGTGTGTGTGTGTGTGTGTGTGTGTGTGTGTGTGTGTGTGTGTGTGTGTGTGTGTGTGTGTGTGTGTGTGTGTGTGTGTGTGTGTGTGTGTGTGTGTGTGTGTGTGTGTGTGTGTGTACTGTCTGTCTGTCTGCCGTTCGCCTCCTCTCCAAAGCTCTGCTGCACTTTGAAGACTGCTCTCTCCTGCAGCTATTTGCCAAGGAGACTCCAATTGACTTTACTCGCTGTAGCCTTCCTGACACCAGACACGAGATGTTTTTGCAGATTTACCCTGAGTTGCCTCTGCTGTTTTTTTAAATAAAAAGTGTGCTTTTCTGCTACAATGCTTGAAATTAGAGTGGGCTTATAACAATTATGCATACAAATCTAACATGCACAATGCAGTTTTAGCCAACAATGATCCAATATCATCAACGTCCTTATTGTTTAAGTGCATTTTTGTGTACTTATTATTAAGATTGTGCACAAAAAATGATCAACACAAATTTTAAATCGCAAAAACTAAGTTTTACTGTCATTCTTAATGGTAAAGCTTAAGTACTATTTGTAACTGGAGAAATTAACTTGTTACATGCCAGCTAGACCATCACCAAAATATCAAAAAGTAATCATCTGAAATATATCCGGATTTCCCCCAAAAACTGCACAGTTTTGAAATATTTCAGCTGCAACACAGTTCTTTGCCTGTGGCTTCAGTGCATGTGGTTTGGGTTTAAATATGTAATGTAGTATATCAGAACTGCCTCATGTGGCCTGTATAGAGTAGATAGCAGACTGGGTTGAAATATTAATTCTTTGTGTGCATCAGTAGATGGAGGTATTGGTAGCATTAGGCTGTGTGTCTGAACATATTCAACTCACTGAGTGTAGCTAATAAATGATTCAGTAGGTGGTATGATGGGATGCATGTTGCACTGACTTTGGATGACGTGAGATGTTTGAATATACTTTCACCATGCTTGTGATTTATGTGTGGAGAGAAGACTGGACCTGTGATCAGTAGAAAAAAACATATCAACTTTTCAGTCTGAATGTCCATGTGTTCCTGTCTCAGTGTGTAACTTTCTTTGTGTATTTTTTCAGAGCAAAGATAGAGATCCAGGTGAGAATCCAGAACACAACACTACACCATATATCAATCCACCTCACACTCAGCTTTCTCTTGGTCCACTGACAGTGTTTATGTGCACAGACAGAAAACAAATCCAGATTTTGAAATGTATGCCAGGCCACTATTGACATGTGCTAATACGAAATATCAGCATGCTGCAAGTTTCCGCTGATATCAGCTCTGAAAACATCAATTTTCCTCCTCATAAAAATGATTACATTTTTCCTGGATGGCTCTCACTTCGGACAGCTATCAATATAGCTTTATTTAAAATGATCTTACTTTAAGATATTACCCCTTTTATGGCTGCAAACCTTTCATTTAATTTTAGATTAATCTGATGCGTATTTTTCTGATTCATTGTTAAGTGTAAAAGATGTAAGTAAATAGTTAAAATGCCCCTCACACATAAGAGCCACAGGTGACTTTTTCACATAGCATATTTGAAATAATAAACCCAAAACACAAAGACATTTTTATTATAATGATATAGAGAGAGGCACACAATTGCTATCAAATCCTTCTCTTGTTCTTCTGGTAATTAGATTCCGTATTAACCATGGTTGTGCACACACTTGTTCCCTTTTTGGGTTTCACTACCCACACATACAGTGGAAACACGCTGAACCAGTAGAAATACAATCAACCAGTAGAAATGCAATACTTCCTTCTATCAGGTTGTGTGCCAGCAACCTGGCAACAGTTTTGCATGAATTGCTACTGGCATGGTGTCATATCATTGTTTTTCCTGGTATCAGAGGTAACCAGGCTCAGCGGGAGGAAGGGAGCCCGTGGCTACTTCCTCATTTTATCCTTGCAGCTGAGACTCAATCTAAGTGTGAAATGCTCGTGTAAACAGTTTAAGTTAAATAAAACCAAAAACAGAATGCATAAAATAGCAAGTGTGTACAGTAAAATATATCTATTGTTATTTTATGCCTCCCTCCTGCGGCTTTCTGTTTCTCTATCTTCCTCCAGTAGAATGTGAATAACATGCAGCATCCTTTGAGCTGTGCGTGCATATGTGTGTGTGTGTGTGTGTGTGTGTGTGTGTGTGTGTGTGTGTGTGTTTCCACCTCACAGAGGGCCTTTAATCTCTCATAAACCTGGCTTCAACACTCATTTTTCCACCCCTCCATCCATTATGCTGCAGAAAATCATTTCTGACTGAAGACGCATTAAAATCAATAGGCGTTTGATTGCCCTGGCCCTCGGCGTTTCATAATATTTCGACGCTGCTCTCTTTGTCTGTTTTCAAAGGTGCGCTAACACTTTGCTTGTCCTTGTGTGGATAGGAATGCAATTCAGCCCCCAAGACTCAATTTTCCACGGCCCTGTGTCTTTAGAAGTCCTATTCATGTCATGCTGCCAGCCCCAGTGCTGCTGCTCTGGAACAGACCCTGAAAGCCTGATATAGATGTATTAGCTTTCAATACAATGTTGTTGACGTCTCTTTTATTTGCCTTAAGCTCCGGTCTTTCCTTCATGCTCTCACTTGAATGTATTTTTCTCGTATTGTATTCCTGCACAACACTATCGCAAAACACTGCACTTAATTAAGCATGTGAAATATGAACTGTTGATTTGTTTAACATAGGAGGGTGCTTTTTAACTGACATGTTATAATTCAATTTCAGTGATTTCTCAGTGAATAATAGGATCAAAGTTGGCCATTTTGCTAAATCAAATAGTGCTGACTGAGGTTATTTCAACAAACAAGTTCAGCATTATTAAAAAGCACTTCTTTAAGTGCCAGTGCAAACCCTTACTATGTGATATATAACAGCTCGAGTGCTTCATTTACTATTTGCATTAGTATATATAGCTGGTGAGGAAAAGTGCTTGAATGGATAGAAATGGTGACAACTAAATACATAAATTCAACACGTTTTTGTCACATATGATGGAACATTTTTTATTTGATACATTTTTCCCAATTCTCAATACATTGTCCTGCAGTAAACTATCTTTTATCTGCGAGCCTGATAACCAGCCATGCATCACGGTGCACTGTTGCTTATCAGTAATATGATAATGGGTCCAAATGATTTGCAAGGGCAGTGCACTGGTGACAAGGGGTGTGTTTGTGTGTGTGTGTGTACATATGTATACTCCCTCTCATTACCACCTATAACGGGGCCATGAATAGTTTAGTAGAGCAAAGACGCACTTTGAGAATAGCAAACATGCCCTTTTTGGCCTGAGGTCATTGTTGCATATTCACACAGGTATATGGTCTCCTGCAGCCAGGCATTCAAAGTGAAGAGACGTACATTTGTCCTCCTCTACTCAGATATATACAGGTCGTTTTATAAAAAGGACATTTACTTAAACTGTCATCACACGAAAATAGTTTGTTAATTCAAATGTTGGCTTTTAGTTATACTAAATTCACCTTATTTCAAGATATTCATTAGATCATAAAAAAACTATAAAGTATTCCGTATAAAACTATTACCACCTTTAAGACATTTAATTAGTTCACAAGACAAAAAAAGCATTGTAAACACATTTTCTCTTTAAAATAGAATGTATTTTGTTTGATTTGGTAAATACATTTCTAGGGAAGGTTGATTTGCAGAGGCAGATTTGTTTGCTTTTGAAAACAGTATGCAGAAACTGACTGCATCTTTCTTGCAGGTTTGCCCAAGATGCTGGTGATCAGGAACTACTTTGGGGTGCCGAGCCCAACGTCTGGTCCGGCACTCAGCATCCAGACGGGTGACATCATCGAATTAATCTGCGCCGACCTCCATAGCCCATGGTGGCAGGTCAGTGTTCACACGATCAATTAATCACATATTTAACAACACAAAAAAACTGACCTGCTGTATATAAACCTTAACTTATTCCTACTGTCAACACCATCATATTCTGTAACAAGGGGAATCAGTAAGTCATATTTTACTATAACTCACATCTGGTATGGTCCCCTTTTTCAAAATGTGTCATTAATGGGTTGTGTTTTGTAAATTAAAGATATGTTGATTTAGGACATTTTATAACTGTGAATACTGTAGCATTCCAGCTGTGTTTTGCAGTTTTTACATGTTAACACCCGCAGACAATTACACACACAGCAGAGCACTTATTACGAGGAAGTTAAACTGAGCCACACTGGAAATGAGATGCGTTTTTGTGTAGAAGTGTCTAAGTGTGTGTTTCAGTGGCAGAATCAAAGCGGTCATAATGATAAAATTGGGATTTTAACTGGGGCCTGAAAAGGGCATTGTATTGACATTAACTACTGTACTATTGTATTATAATCAGACATGTAATGAGGAAACCAACAAATCTCATAGTACTTAATACGAAACAGATTTCAATTAACCCTGCATAAACGCTTAACTGGAGGCAGCTGAAGACAAAATTCAATATCCATCACCTTCATAGCCAGCAGACCATAATCGTTTCGCTTCTTCTTGGGATGCGTGGAAATATAAAATCGATCACTGTAATTTCATTTCATTCAGCAGCAACCATCTGTTTACTCTGTCAGTGTAACCAGCTCTAATCATTATCACACTGTTAGCAAGGAGGCAGTAGAAAGCAAGGCTTTCCACAAAGACTGATAAAATGTGCAGAGTTAGAAGGGATGTGACAGGAGACGACCACAAAACCAGTGAAAAGGGCTGAGCTGGAAGTGGCTTTGTCTGAAAACACACCCCTGGGTGAGGCCTATGTCCCCTTTATAACCTCTAGAATCCCAAAAAACATGACATTATTAAGTCTGACAGTTAAACAGGCAGCTTGTGTACCGCATATTAGTGCTCCAGCTGTTTCTGTGGTTACAGATCTGCAAACTACACAGTACATACATAACACATTAAATAAAAATGTCTTGAGAGTACAACTGGCTACAAATACATAAAGTCCTTACAAATACTACTCAGCCCTTAGACTTAACATTGGGAGAGTGTCATGTAAATTAAAATAGCATTTCTAAATGAAAATGTAAGATGTATTAAAGATTCTCAATAATAAAACAGAAAGAGATTGGCACAAATAGCAGCAAGGGCTGAGTGGTGATGCCGTTATAGGTCTCTTGTAACATGGTTCATTTTTCAACCATATCATAACAAATGGATTTAGATTAAGATGAATGCAGGACACTGCTGCAATTTGCAGGTGTGGTTTATGACATGCACAACTCAAATTATGCAAGGAGATAAAAACAAAAACATCTTACATCATGCTTATTTACACATCTAAAGTTTGCATTGCATTCAATATCCTTACTCATGTATTGTATATACAAAGTGATTAGAGACCATGCAAAGTGGTTGCATGCTGCAGGTTATTGTGCATCTGCCAGATAACAGCAGAATGCATATGCACACATTCTTAATTTGCTTGACTTTTAAGCATCACATTCTTACAGCTATGGTATCCATGACTGGATGTTTGTCACATACAAATCAAATGTTGTACAGGACAAAAGCAGCTTCATTAACCACAGCGTCAGAGGAAACGCACTACAGCCTCCCTATTTATACAGACTGAGTTCTCCCCGGTGTTTATAAATCAAGGCGAGTCATCACCATGGGAGGAATAAGGAACCCTTCTCTTTCCGTCTTCCTGCCAGCCATTATTTCCACAATAGTTAACTAGGCTGTACATTGACACTGCTCTGTGTTGCAAGCTAATTGTTTCTGAATAATGGAGACAGAGTCAGCCAGATGTACGTAACACAATTATCTCTGTGGTTTCAGGGCAAAATCCTGGCGACGAAAGAGGTTGGCTTCTTTCCAAGCGACGCTGTGAAGCCTTGCCCATGTGTAAGCAGCATTTCCTTCTAGAACTACATGAGGGCCTGTTGTAGAAACTTGTGTTTGCTACATGTATTTCCTTGTAGTGTAGTGGCGAGAGGATGTTTTGGGATTTGTGGGGCGAGGTAAGGTATTTAACCTGGCATGAGAAGAAAAACAGCCCATTGGCTTTCATGTCCTGAGCAGAAGGATCTTGTGTTGTCTTATGAGATAAAAGTGGTTTACTGTCTAATTCACTTTATCAATAAGAACAAGAGCAATGTCCTAGAAGGATAAAGCAATACTTTATGTTGTGCAAACTTAACTGAAAAACTGAGAGGGAGAAATAATGGCGTGTTTTGTCTTCACTGACTTATTGCTTGTTTTTGTTGATTTTCATGTTGCATTTGAAAAAATGAAATTCACACTATGTCCAGCTGCTTCAGGAATATGAGCTGTCCTCTACATAACAAATCACCATGTCTACACTTTTGTAAAGATAAGGAGCGCATTACGATTTTTTATTGGGGTTGTTAAAGCACCTGTAAGAGCAAAACATCAGCATGATAACATTTTGTAGACCTGGCGCCAAGTACTTTACTGCAGTGGTGTACTTTTATTGAGTTGGATGAGTGCTGTGCAAGTTATTGAAAATAACAGCAACACATCTCCACTTCTGCTTTTTGCTACAGGTCCCGAAGCCTGTCGATTACTCGTCTCAAGCTTGGTATGTTCACAAAACAGCTGCAGTCTGAAAGTTCTCAAAGGTGAATGATATGTAGACAGCGATTTCATTGTTTTCTTTTGGCTGTTGCGTTGCAGGTTTGCAGGGCCCATGGAGCGACTTCAGGCAGGAACAGAACTCCTTCACAGGGTCAACAGCACCTACTTGGTCCGCCATCGCAGCAGAGAATTCACAGAGTACGCCATCAGTATAAAGTAAGTCTCATATTTCTATAAAGTCAATTAAGAAACATCATATGCTCCACTAACACCTGGATTGATGGATTTCATTGATTTAAATGAAATATTATGATAGAAAATAATACATTTGTATCATCAATCACAGATTACATTTAAAGAGCACTACTTTATTAGTCAAATTGTGTATGTGGTGACAACAGAATGAATATTTGACATGTTGCTTTTTATTGAGTGATAATTAAAGGCTCGTCCTGGGTCCAGCTTTCAACAGTCCTTAGATTGTATGAGTTCACTTTAACATGTTTGTTCTGCATGTCTGCGGCTGCTAGACTTAAGCCAAACCACAGTATTGACCTCCTGGCTTTACAACAAGATTTGAGTGAATGTGCTTTGAGACTGTGGTTAACCACAATGATGTGTGTGAACCTGACCAAACAGAGCAGATAAAGGCACATGTAGCAGTATGTATCATGGTTTGAGCTCCCAACCCACTAAAACAATCATATTGGTTTGTTATTAAAATCTTGGTAGTGATAAATTAACCCAGCACATTTCAGAAGGTTGCGATGCTAAGTGTTTCTACCATTGTATCTCATCTCAGTGTAAATTGTAGGCAGTGAAAAGCACACCAGCACTCCTCTCCATGGGCTACGGAGACATTCCTTTAAATTTATTCAACTTCTTTTAGCATCCTTTTCTTCCCTGGAAAGTATAGCTTTCAGTTCCCTTCAAGTTCTCGTGCGCTGAAGTCTTAATTGCTCGTGTGCACACAGAAGGGTTGTCTGAACAGCTGTAAGACTGTTCAAGGTTATTAAAACGTCGCTGTGAAAGACAGAAGCAGAGTGGAAAGAGAAGCCTCCGTTGTGGGAACGACTTTCAAAAAGCATTAGCCACAAATGGAAATGGCCATCTCGGTTTCTCGGAGTAGAGCAGGCAGAGAATTTTTTATGATGTGTCCAAATAGCCAAGAGACCCCCGTTCTGTTCAGATTAAGATCTAGCATTTTAACTTACTGTATTTCCAAGGCTGCTTCCTGGATAGTTCCTGCCATGCACATGAGTGTTTTTATAGCTTTTTAAATCTTGAAAGAAAAATTAAATCTTGAAATCAGACCTTGGAAGTTGCATTGTATTTATTACATAAAATGTTGTTTTGGCATTGAAAACTAGTTTGAGATTTTGTAAGCCATAGTGTGTTACATTTCAGAGTGTTGTGTTATAGATCAAGGAAATGTTGTAAGTTGTGGGAATCAACATGAATATGAATTGAAGAGAGTAACATTTGTTACCACTCATGTTATGTCCACCATATAAAGCCAGAACACGGTTAGCTTAATTTAGCTTAGCATAGCAAACAGCAGGCAAAAGCTAGCTTGACTTTGTCTAAAAGGTATTTTGTTTGTTTCAAAGAGTGCAAAAATGGAATATGTCAAATTATGTATTTTGCACAGCAAACAAGAAACACTTTCTCCAAAGGTATAAAAACAGTCAAGCACTTATACAGTTTATAACAAAGCCCCATCACCACTCATTTAGCTAAGCTAGGCTAATCAGCAGCTGGCTGTAGATTCAGATTTAACAGACAGAGATCAGATTGGTATTGAATTGTTCCTTAAATGTTGGGAAGGCATCTCAGTAAGCACATTTCTATCACTTTAATACAATACCATGTCTTTTTTTAAAGAAATTAAATGCACATAAATTTGAGTATATTTTTAAAAGGTTACATTCAAGCATCTTTGAGCATTCGGAAAAACGCTATAAAAATCCCATATATTATTATAAATGTGATCATTGGGAACAAGCTAACTGCTGCATTAGTCCCTTTATCAGCTGAGTAATGACTGTGAATGTCAGACAGAGTTCTGCCCACCCTGACCACAAGCCCCATCAGCCACCCTGTTAATGCCAACACAAGCGTGTGGGTGTGTGGGAGCAGAAACACACATGTGCACATTTTCTCCTAAATAGCCATCATTCACGTGTCACAGACCTCTGGGACCCTGCAGCGACGGCCCTGCTCCACAGGGGCCAGGGGCCAGCCACCGATCGATGGCTGTGATCAGAGACGGAAATTAGACTCATAACTTATTCAATGGCCCACAGGTACAACAGCGACGTGAAGCACATAAAGATCCTGACCAAGGACTTCTGCTTCTACATCGCAGAGAACAAGAAGTTCAGGAGCATATTGGTGAGTCTTTCAGCCTCTTTTCTTTTTAATTCCACCACTGCAATTCATAAATAAATCTTCATGTTCGCTTAATGACGTGTCAAAACCTGAATTTTATTTTAGCAGTGTGCACAAAAATAGCCATGATTAGAGACGTGTTTATACTGGCCCCAGGGCTCCAGCATTATAGATAAGTCAAGAGCATGTTGGAAAGGTTTTCTTCAAATCAGCAATGTGTTCTCTGAACCCGAAATTTGTTAATACATTTTGGAGTGCAATGTTTGGAAAAAATGCTTTTTAATATTTTGCTAACATAATTTCACTGCATTTTATAGAATAGAAAGAACATCTAAATGTCTGTCAGATGAAGTGGTATATTAATTCAATCAGCTTTCATAACATTAGACAGTATAATGTAGCACAAGCAGACTCTTCATTATTTGACATGTAAATGTTATGGACGTTTCCGTCATGAGAGCTGAAAAACATGAACATGGCTAATTTATCTTATTTTCAAGGAAAAAGGTACATGCAGTAAAGTCAAATGCCAGCATATCTATTCATTTGCTTACTAATTGTATGTGTGTGTGTGTGTGTGTTTCCAGGAGCTGATAGAGTACTACAAACACCACTCGTTGAGAGAAGGTTTCAGGAGTCTGGACACGACTCTAAAGTTCCCTTACCGGGAACCGGAGACCGCTGCTATGCACAGCCTCAACCGTTCCAGTAGCCAAAGTGAGTAGAGCTAAGAATAGAAACAATACAACTCTAAAACATGTAGTTTAATTATTTAGACATTTCTTGATTCATTTCCTGATGTTCATTATCAAGAAATGTTGTGACAATTCCCTTATTTTTAATTATGAAGAAATGTCCTAGATTAATGTCTTTCTGAAACTTCCAAAACGAAGACTCATGTTCCTTTTGTTGTAAATACTTTTTTATTTAACCTGCAACATGCTGCTGTCACTGGCTCTTCTGAATTCCCCCATCACTCCTTCAGCTCCCTGTTTTGTTATCCATCACCTTTTCAGCTTCTCTCACACACTGCTTTTATTCCATTGGCATCATCTTCACAGCCTTAAAAGTGCTAGGTAGCTATTTATGTGGTAAAGAGTCTGGTCTCTTTTGACGTTAATTGCTTTTGACCGAACTGTCAAATGGTGGTTGGAGAATCAACTAAGCATGTTATTAGATTTGATAACACTCAGTCAAATCGATGTGATCTTCAGTAAACGTCCAGAGGAAGGAGAGATAATCGGGTTGACCCTTCAACGAGTTAACCATAGTCAGAAGCATTTATAATCAGAGTTATAGTCTTATCTACCGTGTGGGTATTACTGGATGTAGATCAATAATCATCCATTATGAGTTAATACAAAAAATTGAAGTCACAAAAAAACAAACATTTATATCATAAATTTCATGTTTCTGACTAAAAACAAAGGATAATTGAACCATGAATCAATTTACCTACAAAGTTAATGTTATTGATATTGAAATCGTAGCTTACCATCAAGTTATTGTTACATTTCAGTGAAGTAACACTTTAAAATTCAGACAGGCTACAATTTGCTAGCAAACATGCCTCAAGACGTTTTTGGCAAACGTTGTTCTTGTGGATGTTACGTTGTGCCGTGGATCTGTGGGCTATGCATGATATTTTTCTCCTGTAAGAATGCTCTGTTTGTTCTGTTATGAACAAATCTGCCAACACCTCATCATCTTGTCACCAACATTTGATAAAATTGGGCAAATTGATGATTATTTATGCTTGCGGTTTACTGTCACATTTGAGCAGCTTTGTCAGTCATTGCACTTACTAACCTGACTGAATAAGAGAGGTCCACTAAGATGTTTTTTTTGTATGCAACAGATGTGTGGGACTTTGAAAAGAGATTTTAATGACATGATGTTTTGGTTTGAAGTGAAGCAACACATGAAACAGAGTATTGTCAGGAGTGAACAGACATTTCTGCTACAAAACAGTTTTTTTACTAATTAAAAGTAAAAAAAAGTCAAGAGTCAAAAGACAAAAACATAAATACATTTGGTGTAGAATCACTTTTATCCTTTTTTTTAGCGCCTTGGCTAATAATGTCAAGTGGGAATTCGTTTGAAAACCCATCAAGAGAGGTGTGAACACTGAAGTGCTGTTTGCCCTCTCAAACATCCATGATCCCCCTCCCCCCCTCACAAGCTAAATGTTGAGCCATGCCAGAAGAAAAGGTATTAAACAGTGTGTGAGCCAGGCAAAGCAACAGTGCCCATCAGTTGGTAAATGGAAAATGTACGACTTATCGCAATCAGTGGCAAAAGGAGATTTCATTTGAACGCTGTATGCCGCTGCATGCAATGGGAAAAAGGAATAAAAAAAGTCACAGCTTGCTGACGATCACGTTCCGAGCGGGAGAAATGTGAACAGATTGTGCAGAGTTGTTCGGGTGTTCTGTGAGAAGCCTGTTGTTCAAACTCTGCTTCAAAACACAAGTAGAGACAGCTTCAGTCCAAATTAGTTTTGCTCCGGTGTGGGCTCCTTCTTCTAGGCAGCCTCCTCCCGGTGTGCAGACTTCATTTCTCTCTTTCACTTCTAAATGACTCTTTTGTTTTGATTTCCATCCTCCTCGAGCACGGCTGGAAGACTGCTAATGAATGTTTATGCTTTCTTTTTTGGACAGCTTCGCGGAAGGCAAAACTGATTGATTGATTGATTGATTTGAACTAATTCACTAACTACACCAGCCCAACACAATGTTAAACCCAAAATATAAATGAATATGTGTCCATAGACAAATACTGTGGACTCTGGGCTGCTGGTGTGTGTACTGCTCTTGATCTAAGTCTCTTTCATTTGCCAAGCAGCCCTTATTGTGTATTCCAGTGTGTCCCACAAATCAGATTCTGCAAAAAATGAAGCATGTAAAATGCAGCTGGTGTTTTGGTGGCTATTTGAAGTGCACGTTGATCCCTCTTTATATTGCTCGTACCTAGACACTATTAGCGGTTGCTGAGCTGTCTCTCAGTGTGCTGATTAGTATTCATTTTAAAAACCACTGGAGCTCTGCTCTCCTTACAGCATACCAATAACCCCGGCCAGTTAGCTTGACAGAAGTATTGTCGGGAGCGGCACATTTTTCATAAAGTTTGGGCATTTATCTTCCATTGTGGGGATTACATTTTCAATTCCCAGCGGCAGAATTGTACGCCTGTGCTGGAGCAAACATCTGTGGTCGTTTTGTGTCTCTTTGTCGTCATTTTGTGTGTCTTTGTAGTTGTTTTGCATCTCCTTGTAGCAATGTTATGTCACTTGTGGTCGTTTTGCATCTTTTTGTAGTCATTTTGTGTCACTTGTGTCACTCATTTTGCATTATTTATGACATTTCGAATCTCACTGCAGTTCTTTTGCTTCTCTCTGTGGTTCATTTGTGTCTCTTTGTGGTCGTTTTTCTTTTTTTTGTAGTCATGTCGCATCGCTATTTGTCGTTTTTTGTTTAGTTTGACTACAGTCAATATATACAGAGGCTCTGGTCCAGGGCCTGTTCCCAATAGGCTCACTCAGTAATACATCCATTATACTAATGAGCCACTTATTACCTATCCTCTTCTGACTCCTTGCATCTGTCTAATGGAATTTGAAATGCCTTTTTCATTGCCTGGATACTACAAATAAATCCAGGAATTGGATGTTTCATTCATACTTGTTAACATTTTATGGACAAAATCCTTAATTAAGTCAACCATTTTGTTATTTATACTTTGTGCTGTACTCTTCCTTTGACTGTACTCGCGCCATACTCGCTATGTTGACATTCCAACATAACCAATTGGACCAAAAATGATCTCTAAGTCTAAAACACTGACCCTTTAGTATTAGAGGTTCTGTCCCCAGAGCAGGGTGCTGACACCTTTTAGACATTGTTGGAACCAGATCAATGCCTGTAGCTTCTTTTCTTCTTTGCCAGTGGAAACACAGGAAGAGGGATACAGTTACAAAAGCAGAGGGCGACCGGAAAGTAGAGAAATATGCACTGTGGTGTGGACAGTATGAACTTTAGGAAAAATAAAGTACTATAATAGAAGATGAAATACAACCACATTCTAAGTATCAGGTCGAATGCGTCTATCAGAGGAAGTGTGCAGAAGGTGGATCATTGTTTTGATATGGAGAAAGACATCTGTATGTCATCCTGTAATACTGATGCAGACATCCTTATGACAAATTGGAAAGAGATGCATTTTCACTTCATATTTCATTTAAATCCCATATTTAACCTAACTAGGTAGATGACGTACCACTTGCTAAAGCTTTTGTTTTTTTCAAACTGTATGCTTTATACCTCAGAGTTTGGATTAAAAAAAACATGTTTTATTTATGTTCCTCTGCTTTTCTCTCCTTCTACCATCCCTTGCCTCCCCCCCCTCACACCCCCCGCCTGGCCCGCCCCGCCTTAGCCCCATTGCTCTACGGCCTCTCTTTTGTAACTCCTGCCGGCTACAGCTTTGTTCCTCCTTCCTCTGCTCCCTTCTGGTCAGGTACAGGTATCTCTTCTCTCTCTGTCTGCCTCTCTCACTATTTCCCTCTGTTTCCTTTCATGTTGCTTAGCATGCTGGCTGCAGCTCTGTATTCACGTTACATCACCGTCTGAATCTCATCCAGCTTCCAATTGCAGCATTTCACCTCTTCTGTGGTGTGTGCGCATACATGGCACCCTGTGAGGAGAATAGGGACTGTCTGTTTAACTATTGCATGTTATTTGGTGTGTGTGCATTTGTGCATGTACATATCAGCGTGTGAGGCAGAGGAGTGGTGTTTGAGTCGTATGTGGTTGAGTTTGGTTGTGTGTTTGCTTCCGTCTGTCAAAGTAAAGGTGGAGGTGTCCAAACAAGTGCTCTTTTATATTAGATATTCAATCCCCACAGCCAGGTTGTGGAGGTCTGACATTCCATTTCCACCTGTCAGCTCAGCCCAGTCCTGCTCACCTGACAGTGTCTGCAGAAGGGTGGGATGGAGCAGAGGAAACTAGCTCACCTTCTCCACAGCTGCCTCTCACACTGCTGTCTGCTCCACAGGATGTGTAGTCGCTCACACACGGCTGTCAGCACTCCAAATGGACCATCTTAACTAAAGCAGTGCAACACACAAGCACTTAGTTGGGCCACGCTTTTGTTGTGGTTAGGTCATTTATATTAAATCACATGCACTAGTACAAACACACTGTCATTTATAAACGTACATTACATCTAGTCCTGTCGTCAAACTAGTGACAGGTGAAACTTTAGCCCTCAAAACAATATGAAACAATATAACTATGGTGCACGCTTAGGATAAGAACTGTTCCATTAGTTTATGTAAGTCAGTGTCATTCAGCATTTCTTTTATCTCTCTTTCTGAAAAATACATCTGGCGGTTACATGGTGTGTAGAGGAAGGAAGATCTCCTGGCTTTTTCGCCAATTTTCGTACTGGCGAAAGCATGGAATAACCCCTTCCAAGGCTGTCATGTAATGCCATTTAGCCCAAATATACTTTTTGTCAAAGACTTAGGCTACATTGGAAAGTAAACCCAATATGAGTTAGCTGAATTGCTGCCATTATTAAGATAATTTGGCATTTCATAAGAAAGAGAGAGAAAGAAAGATGGTCAGAGGTTTTTCTGGGTGAATTGACAAAAGTCGTCCATTACCATCTGTATGTGTTTGTGTATCTGTATGTAGTGCACATGTGTTGACGATGAAACTGATGTATTTTACCCATCTTAACCTAAAACAAAAACTACCATATTTTAATGTCCAACTGTCTTCTGTTTCTTTTGTAGTGTTTGCGCCAAAGGTGATCGGTGTGGCGATCGCGCGGTACGACTTCAGCTCGCGGGACACGCGGGAGCTCTCGCTGCAGGAGGGAGACGTGGTGAAGATCTACACCAAGTCGGGAGCCAACGGCTGGTGGAGGGGCGAGGCCAACGGCCGGGTAAGGTTCAGCCTTAAACTGGGAATATGAACATGGCATACAATCACCAATCAAAATGGGGAGAATCTTCTTTTTTCTGGGGTCTTATATGAGATCGCAGGTAACCACTTTGTTAAAAACCCTGAGAAAGGCCCACGTTTACAGTATAGGTAAAACATGTTGTGCACTAGCTCTGCACTGCATTCATGTCTACTTTTTATGAAATGTAGTCAAGGCAGAACAGCTTAAAAATGTGTATTAGTTGTATACACTATTTACAGCCTTACATCCAGTTTTAGCTAATGCTTAAAAGTGGTTCTTTGAGGATGGTATTCTTGTCTACAGGTACCTGGAAGGGACTGTTTATATTGAGTCTATTTTATCTCGTCATGAACACCTTTCCAACATGAGTGTTTCCCAACATTATCACTTTGAAGAGTAGATTTGCTGCTCTTGTCTTAAATGCATACACCAAGAGCGCTTCATAATCAGGCATGCAGCGTTGAGAAAATCCTGTTTCAAGATGCGGGGAAATATATGTACTGACTCCTACTCACACTGCATTTTTAGCTTGGTGGAGAGTGTTAGCCTGAGTGACAAATTCCGCCTGTGTGTTTGTTTGTTTATTTGTTTGTGTGTGTGCTGCAGCATTCAGTAATGTGTCTGTGCCGTGAGTGTTTTTGTGAACAGCTGTTGTAAATGAAGAAGCTTTTCTCTTTTACTAAGCCTGATGTGTGTGTTGATGCTGCTCCGGTGGAAACTAAACTCTGTATGTAGAGTCTGTCGAGAGCTGTTAGACTCTCCGTAGAGCCTTCAACCAGGAAAACAATCGCTACAGCTGGGCGAGAAAAGCAGGCTGGATTTTTCAATTGAAAAACACTTAAGGAATGTACCGCTAAAATCTTCTGAGTTTAATATAAGGATTTTAATAGTCTAGTTATCATGAACAGAAAAAATTGTTTGGCTTATCCAATTGAATAAAATGACATTATGTGTCATTTAAATCAGGCTCAATCTGTTTTTATTATTTTGTTTTTAGCTCAGGCTCCAATCAAATAGCTAATAGTTAGAAACACTTTTGTTAACTTTGAGTTTTTAATACAAATTTGTGAATTTCCAAGCCTAACATCGGGCCTGAGCATCACACATTTTCACTTAGCATTCTGATCCCAGAATTAGCACGTCAAATATATACATTTTTATTTTTGTCACTACAGCTCTTCACTTCAGGTTGCCAAAGGGCATTCTGGTCAATGTATAAAATCACTAATGTGGGAAGCTGGGAGACCATAAATTACTGTATGTGTGGATACTGATTCTCGTTTCTCCCCACCCCCCCTCAGGTGGGCTGGTTCCCCTCCACATACGTAGAGGAGGGTGAGGAGTGAAAGGTCCACCACGGGAAGAAGAGAAAGATAAAGGAAGAACGGCAGCAGTGCAGTAAGCACACTGTGAACAGAACAGTGACAAAGAGTGAGCTTCTGCACCGCTGCTTGTTACTTTCGGAGTGAAGCGCTCTCCTCGATGGAGTCCTGACGCCGGCAACACTCCCAGAATCCTTTGGGAGAGAAAAGGGACGCGAAGATGCCCCATCATTTCTGGTTGACTCTGTGTGGCTAAGTGACTCCACCAAATAGCAGCTTGCCTGTCAGCGGGGCTCGAGCCCTCGCCAGACACCCCTCACCCCCCCCCCCACATCATCCATCCATCCATAATTCAGCCCGCCCTCCCCTCCCCTCTCTGCCCCCAGCTCCCACCTGTTTCTGCTTGCCAAGTCGGCCGTCGCCAGTCTGTCAAAAAGTAGAAATGCTACTCTTCCATTCATGCGCTCATCCATCCACCCATACAAGCATCCCCCCCACCCCCACCCCACCCACCTGTGGGAATAGAGCAATTTGAGGCGGAAAAGACCCACACTATTCTGTCCCCTTCTCTCTGAGGGGATTTCAGTGAGTTTTGACCTTGCCTGTGTGTTTCCTCCACTAATGCTGCTGGTTATTGATGACTCCCTGACCCAGATTCACACACACACCTCCAACCTCTCCTCCCCTTCAGATTACGATCGCCTCACACACACTCCTACAGGAGATGCAAGAGAGGGATTGCGTCGGATAGCATCGCTGCGCAGTGCCAGCAATTGATCGCTGTTGTTCCTATTTTCCTCCCTCCTCCTACATTCTTTATCTGGAGCCGGCCTCTCATGTTTTCAGTTGTCTGGGCCGTTAGCGATCCTCGGCTCTTATCGGTGGCAGCTCTGTCGACAGGAGCACATTCGCCCAGGGTTTATCTTATTGGAGGCATTAGCAGCTTGTCGGGGAACGAGCCACACTACCTCGAAGCCACCTGTCCCCAACATAAAGCCGATAGAAAACATAAGCAGCTCAACCTTCTTAATCTTTTATCTCACATTTTTCTCTGCTTTGTTTCTCAGCTTCACCATCTGCAGATATGATAGATAGGATGATTGATTGCATTCTTGAAAAAGAAAGAGACCCAGATGTGTTGTTTAACATGATTTTTTACCAGATTATGCATCACAATATTAACAGACACGAGGTATCTTCTGTGTTCAACCCTCGCCCCCTGGGTACATTATGCACACTGCCTCCTTAATCCACACTTAAAGAGGATTTTCCCACATTTGAGGGGAATAAATACCCACTTTACTCACTAGTCAGCCATTATATAGCCAGAGAGAGAGTGGGAAGACAGTGTGCACAGAATTAAAATAGTGATCAATTTATGTCTGGAGGTGAGAACAGGAACAGCTGTTGGCTTTGTGCAGCGATGTTTTAATCTCAGCCAGGATTCTCTCTTTCCTGGATAGACGGAGAAACACACTACAAACCGTACATCCCTGTTCAAAATATGTACATATTTTCATGGCAAACTCTTTGAACTAAGAACTTTAAATTCTTCTTTCTTTAAAGCTGTACTTTGGCTACATTTCCCCTCATATAGACTTTCACACACGCCTACACATGACATTTTAAAAACCATCCATCTCTTTTCTGTTAAGGGAAGGTAAAAATAAAATGTACATAACATACATCACTGGGGTACTAAGAGGCAGCATTCTCGAGGTGATAACAAAAAAAAAGCATCAGACATTGAATTCAGAACTTTCTAAGGAAAGTTTGAGTGGACCTCTGATAGGGCATTACTCCTATTCAAAGCCTTCATCCACCCCCTCATGTCTCTATTGTGTCCATGTCATTGGGTATTGTGTCAGAAATATATTTTGTGAATCAAAGTAAGAGTTTATTGTAAAGATATGCTCTTAATGGAGCCATTATGTGTGGACATCTATAATAACCCCCTGCCAGCCCTGCCATTATGATACGTATGACAATATATTTTTTTGCTCTCAGTCATGTTGTTTAAAACTGCACTGAAGATGTGTCAGAAATAGTCATCTTAATGTATTTTGCATTGTGACGCCCCCTTTTTTCCAAATTGTGTATCATCAGTGTCATTAAGTGACCACTAGATGGAAGCATCCTAAACACAACTCTTCCCAAAGCCAGTCACCTTCAACTTGCTTAAGTTTGGAGATGACATCATCCGATAAGGAGGGTCACAATATTTAGGCATTTAGCCTTCGCCTCACACATGTTGCTGGGAGATGAGGGAAAGAGGATGACATACTGACAAATCCAAAGTGTGTAAAGACAAGATTTAAGTTTGTTAAAGAAGTAGAGCGTCCGGATTAGTAAAGCAGGTTAAAATATGCAGATGTGAAATTATTTGAAAAAGCTGTATTGTGAAGTTTCTTGACATTCCCTGACTTTTACCAGATTTCCAAGAACTTTCTATTTGTCCTCCTCGCCTGTTCCCAAAAGTCTCTGAGCAGTCAAACATTAGATTTATAACATCTTTAGGAATTCTGCGGTGAGGCAGCGGCCCAAATGTGATCCAGCCCGAGCGCCTCTCCGTCCTGGGAGCAGAGCGGAGGCAGAGACTCCGTAATCCACTCCGCTCGCCTCCTCCGCCCAGATGAACTCTGACAGCTGGGCCATTTACAACTGCAGGCCTTCCTCCACTCCTAGTGCGCTTCCAGATTTTCTGTGTGTGCAGGAGGGACGGGAGGAAGGCTCAAGGGTATCTGTGATCTAATCATTACACCATCTCCTCACCCCGGCGACCCCACTGCATCCATCTCTCTGTCGTCTCCTCTCCCTCGCTCTCTCTCACCTTGTCACTTCCCTTCTCTCTCCCTCTCTTTACTGCTCTCTTCCCCCATCTATCTTTCATCCAATCTCTGTCTTTCTCTCTGCATTCTGGCCCTCACCCCGATGCTCTGTAGGCTGTAACTGCTGTAACTTCTGAAAATAGAAGAGGCGATTCTCTATAAACTAATTGAGGACTGCTTTTAATTTGACCGCAAATTCATAGAGAGAAATAAAAGCAATTGAGCGAGAATGAATTGGTTGTCACCTCTGTCCTCTCCTCCTATGGAGTGTGCACAGATTCTGTCTATATGCAGAGGCACACACCGTGTACGTGTGAAGAAATGTTCTGACAGGATTTAGGGCTGAGCAAGTCTTAGCCCAGCAGGGGTTCAGGATACAATCTCCTCCGCCAACATGAGAGGACATTTGTGTAGCAACCTGAGCAGAAACAGCATACTATCACCCATACAGTACATGAAGGAAATGTGTCTTTCTTCCAGCGCTCAAAATCCACCCTTAATCCAATGACAAGTCACCCCCCCACTTCCCTCTCTGTGTATTATTGCTCCCTCCTGACTGAAGTTTGCATTCTGTGTCCCCGCTCCATGTTCTGTGATCCCCTGAAGCCAAAGATGTACTTCCTGTACACTCAGTGTTGTGTCAGAACCACGGTACCGACCGCTGTGGCCTAACTCTAAAACCGTGCAATCTCAACTGTGTAGCATTACCGTGTATTGTTGCTGTACCATACTGTAAAATATGTACATAGCATATAATAAAGATATACATTGCTTCTTCTAATGTGTTGTCATGTTATGAAATATACTTAAAGAGGGCATATTCAGGTTCATATTATTATTCTGTGTCTCTACTGGGACATGTCTCCATGCTTTAATGTTCAAAAAGCTCTTTATTTTCTCATACTGCCTGTGCTGCAGCACCTCTTTTCACCCTCTGTCTGAAACCAGAGCCCAGGCTGCTCTGATTGGTTAGCTGGCCTGCAATGTTATGAACTTACAGTGTTTTAGAAAAAAACGTGAAGTAACCATGTAGTCAACATAAATTGTATGTAATTTCTAATAAGGATTTTGAACGATATTTCAAATAAAAAACCCTAAAGGAATGCAGGAGCATATTGTGCTGGGTGCTACATTTGATGAGTCATGGTAATGATTCATTATAATGAAGAGTTATTGAGAATTGTAGCCTTCAAATGACATATTTCAATGAATAAACCCTTTTATACATAACCATAATGACACCTAAAAGGCATTTTCAAACGTAAAAGCAACCTTTCAGACTCTAATTATAAAGCATTCCTAGATTGTGATTAAATGCTGACGTCATTATGTGTAGGTTCAGGATCACAATGCAGTTGGGAACACTTTCAGTAAAGGAGTGTAGTTCAGCATTTTGTCTTTTTAGTGGTCAGTCTAATATCTGTGAGCTCAGCGGGCTCAGGAGGGACTTCCTGGCTAAACTTAGGAACTCAGTCCTTGAAGTATCGTAGTGCTCATGAAATAGCTGCCGTGGTGCTACTGCCGTGTTTTGTTGCTATTCCCTCCACAGGACTTAAATAACCTGCAGCCAGTGGGGTGCTGTTTCTCATTAGCTCATTGGCTAATACATGTGAGTGTGATTGAATGTGGGGATAACGTGCAGGTCTTGTTATTACAACATGCTGTTAATAACAAACCAAGTTAACCAAAACCTCCAAACATAGCAAATTAAACTCAATGCAAAAAAGGTGACACTGAAAAACTGCAAGTAAGATGCACACCGTATGTTAATGCTTATGGTTGCTTTCTCGTCAAAATGATGCATGAGTGCAGGTCGTGTGGTTAGGCGGGGGTCTCCTCTGCCATCTGGAGTCTGACTACCTGCCGGGACTAAAGTTAAACTGACCAAAAGGATCACTGGTGGCCCTGCAGGGGTGAAGAGACTCTGTACTGAACACCCACCAGGCGGGCTTTGGCCTGGGCCGGGCAGTCTGGATCCAACATCCCCCCCCCCCCCCCCCCCTCCAGCTGGGGCCGGACCTCCAGTGTGACAGATGGCTGGAGAGACGGTGACATCAGCCCTTTTCTCAGCACTCAGAGATTGTTAGGAGAAACTTTCTGGACCGCTGCAGTCCTCTCTGATATGAAATGGATTTTGAAGATGAGCAAAGAGTTCTGTGTTGTTGACACTGATAATACCAGAAGCTCTTGTCACTGATAATACAGGAGCAGGGGCGGCTGATAGTTACAGCGAGGCTGCTCCCAAATCAGAGAGGGCCAGGCACAGTCTACAAAGTACATACTGAGACCCTTCCTGCGTGACACAGTCTGTCAGAGGGGGGGTTAAGGGGCTCAGGAGCGCCCCCTCCCAGCAGCAGGCAGCTGTACAACCTGTCAGTTCATGAGAGATATACCTGAGATCACCATCTCTGTATGACATTCCAATAAGTCCTAACAATAAGTGCAGAGGAAATCAGTGCATTTCACACTCCTAAATAGGATGCTTGTCCAAACCAGCTAGCTATCCTAGATCTAATTGATCTCGAATTTACGGATAAAGTATGGAGCACAAATTAATCTGCTTCATACAGTACTATAGTCAAAGGTTGGTATTAAAGAGAGCAGCATTAATAAGGTGGAAAGGACGAATGTATATCTATCAAAGGGGTTAACACACGATGACACAAAATAAATTATGTTTGGAAGAAGACGTTCTTTCAGAGGATTCCTGGCAGCATACATGATACCATATTGAAACATGAAAGTAAACTGTCTTGAACATGAATAAACACCAGTGAAGACCATTGCAACAAAATGGCCTGCTCAGTTTACTGAACCTCTCTTGTTTTAGTTTAGCACTGCAGCCATTCCTCCACGCTCCTTTCCATCTCCCTGCAATTCATCTAATCTGTCATGTTTTGACTTCTTCGACTGCACTCCATATATCCCAGTCTATTTCTCACTCGTGCTTTCTCCAGGTTTATCGCTGTCTTTTGGGGCCATGAGGGAGCCATCATCATTGCCAGATGGTATAGCTGCTGTGTGTAAATATCAAGCAGCACTCTTTCCCCCCTTGTTTTTCCTGGAGACTATCAGCACTGCATAAACACTGAGGCGCTGTCTACGGAACACACCCAGACAGCTCATCACCATAAAACACACACACTGGTCCATTCAGAAACACACAAACACACACAAACACTCCTGTATCGGCAGCCTTCTTTACAGGTTGCAGCTACATTATTATAGCCTTTGGTTTATTCTCATACATATGCAGTCCTGGAAGGTTGATTCAAGAGAGCGCATGTCGTCCACAGCGCTGCATGTTGACATGGCTCGGCATTTCTCAGCAGCCAAGTGTGATTGCATTTATTCCAACTGGCATTGGCATAAAATGAAGGCATACAGTCATGCATACTCTAGTGCACTTTTTAGAGCTGCAGTTCTTCGTCGTAGCCTTATTTTATATTCACACATACAAAAAAGAGCAGTGTCCCTAACACACATATGCATAGACACACTTCAGTAACATATGGGGCCACAAACATTGCCTTTGATAATATTCTGCATCATAAAACAGTTTAAAAGTATAATTTAATTTGATGAAAAGCAGGTAACATTATACTTTCCATATTTAAGAATTCTGCTCGTATAAGGGTACAAAAACTTCAAGCAGTTGTCCTTCAAAATTCAGTTTCAAGGTCAACAGGTACCTGCCGCACAGCTGAAGTTTGAGTCAAATACAAGCTTAACAAAAGCATCCAACATGCGTCACATGTGTGGCTGATACTTGTTATATTCAGTTTGCCCTGTAAATAAATACTCTGGTGTGATGACACCCTTTGTTCCACTCTCTAGTTTGTTTTCTGTGTGCATGCATTGAAAGAAAAAGTGAAATCTGGAGGAATGTAGATGTTTGTGTCCTATCTGTGACCCACATTCGTTAGTCATACTATCAGAGAATACTCTTTATTATCATCATATGAATGACACATAATTAGCAGCTCTCGTGCCGCTGCATAATGATGCGTATATGGCTGACATTCTGCAGGAGCTATGACATGTGTACATTCATTAGTTACCTGTTGCATTGTCAGTGTCATTCCTGCACTGAATTCAAATTGTTTGCACATGCACACGGAATTCAAAAACTACGCATGAGAAAAGAGTTGAGTGATATGAGCTGGTGCATTCATATATTGCATGTGATTTGGGGAACAGCTGGCACAGACATTTTGAAGGCAACATAACACAAACAAATTATAGCTGCAGAAATAAAAAACAATCCTTTCTATATGCATAGCAATCGATTTTGACAAAGAAATATAGAAAACAGGAAAAAGTCTTACGCAGGTCATTTAGAGTTTCACCTCAAAACATTTGATTGTATAATTAAATCTCACACATCTTAAAACAACTCAATCAGTGTCCGGATGACTTCCAAAAGACCCTTATTTGTCATGCTTGGAAAATAGATGAAAAGGCAACTAAAATGTCCAATCCTGCGTGAGCAAGATTTAAATATTTTTAATATATTAATATAATATTACTTCAAGGCACCACTAAAATAGACATATATGGAATTAGCCTATTTTTTGTGTTTTTTGACAATGTGGAAAGTGTTATCAGAACACTTAAGGCAACGTTTGAGACATATTGGAAACATACAGCTCCAGTGAAATTCAAACCCAGCCGAGGAACTTCCACTGGTGCCGGTGATTCTTCCGTCCCCCGTGGTTTATTCTGGAGTGTGGAGCTCACACTGATCCACTCCAATTTAGCAGAGGAGATGAGGAAACCATCACTCTGCATGGAAAGCTGCTGTCTCGGTTACATTTCATTTTCCCCTCTGTTCCAAATGCATTAGCTCATCAGGCCTTGTGATATTGAAGTGGGACTGGAAGACTTTCCGGCATCGTACACCTCGAGTTACAGGATCTCCACGGCTGGAACAACCACCACAGACAGGCAGCATGACGAGCCATTTGTTTGACGTATCAATTATCGATATGACTATCACGTTTGGCATGTTAACTGCTCGTCCGTATTGTAATATTTGGTGTGGAGCTGCATGTGAAAGGTTTTGATTTGGGGTTTAACGTTATGTGTGAGCCCAACACATGCCCCAGTGCATCTTGTTTAAATCACTAGATACTTTTATTTTAGGTGCTGCTGGGGAGCTTCATATCCATTATTTATCTGGATCGTTGTGCAATGCATAGAAATGGCCATTTACAGTACGTTTGTGTGTTTAAATCTGGAGCCCTGTGCTGGCTTTCTGAGAGATAATAGGGTAAAGGGTTTTGAGTTTTAAGGTCAAAATGCAACCAGAAATGTTTAGTCTGAAGGAAAATATCAATATTAATAAATAACAATTACAAATGTAATCTGGACCTCAGCCATTGTGTGAGCCAAAAAAGGGAGAACTGGCTTTTCATACTCTTCCCACCAGAAATAACACATTTGTATGGCATGGCAAATATATAGCTGATAGTATACACCCATGCAGTCCTCTATATTATGTATGCAGACCCCCATTTCCTCCGTGTGGCAGAGGGATGATGGAGATGTGGGAGGCAGAGCTTCTATTTTAGGGTCTTTGAGTCGCTCTCACTCGTTGCTTGCCTCTCTCTTTCCCTCCTAACCTCAACTGGCAATCGTGCCATTCGCAATGTGCCCATTCCCCAGTGTCCCCTGAAGCACCTCCAGATGTATTCAGCTCTCATTTGTCATTCCTGGGAATGTGGTGGCGTCAGCAGTTATGTCCCAGCCTCCACTGATGGCGCGGCACCACCACTACGA